GTTTACAAAGACATTGTTTCCATGTTTTTCCTTTTTACATATTTTTTATTTTCCTTGTTTACCTCTCTCCTACCCCTCCCAGTTTCTCTACTCTTTTAGACCTTTTCTTCCTGTTACACAAAATCAATTACACATTTTGATCCTTACTTACACTTTGTTTTTCACACCAGAAAAACTATTCAGTATTTACACACGTGTGTCTTATTAATTTCACTTAAGAGTATGGCCTCAATGTGCATCCTTTTAGCTATAAATATCTCTACTTTCTTGTTCTTTATGGCTGAGTAATACTCCATTTTATTTATTTTTTAAATCTTCTTTATCCAGTCTCCAGTTGATGGGCAATTGGGCTGTTTCCAAGCATTAGCTATTACAAACTCTGCCACTATAAACATGAGTGAGCATATATCACTATGCTATGATTACTTTAATTCTTTTGGGAAGATACCCAGCAGAGGGATGGCTGGGTCAAATGGAACCTCTAATCCTACTTCTTTGAGGTATCTCCATATTGATTTCCACAGTGGTTGCACCAGTCTGCACTCCCACCAACAATGGAGAAGGGTTCCTTTCTCCCCACAACCCTGCCAACATTTGTTATTGGTTGGTTTCTTGATAGCGTCCATTCTTACTGGGGTGAAGTAGAATCTCAGTGTTGTTTTCATCTGCATCTCTCGAATGATCAGTGATGTGGAACATTTTTTCATATATTTACTTGATGCTTTTCCTTCTTTGTCTGAAAAATGTCATTTCAGGTGCCCATTTTTGAATTGGGTCTTTATATTTGGGGGTCTGATTTTTTTAAGTTCTTTATATATTTTAGATAGTAGACCTTTGTCTAAGGAATAATTGGTAAAAAATTTTTCCTACATTGTGGGTTGTCTCTTAGCTCTGCTTGTGATTTTTCTGGCAGTGCAGAAACTTTTTTAAAAGAAGAGATTCCAATTGTTGATTCTTTGTGCTATTTTCATGCTACTGAGGATTTGTTACAGCATATTGTTGGATTTTGCTTCTTTATCCATTCTGCCAGTCGCTCGTGCGCTCCCTCTCTCTCTCTCTCTCTTTCTGGTACCAGGGATCAAACTCAGGACCTTGTGCTTTCGAGGCAGGCAGCAGAACCACTGAGCTAAATCCCCAAGCCCCAGTCTGTTTCTTTTGATTGGTGAACTGAAGCCATTGACATTGATGGTTATAATTGATGTGTATTGACTTATCATTGTCATGTTATTTTCCTGTTGTTGGTTCTATGGTCTTAGTGAAAGGCAGCATCTCGATCAGGGGCAGGGAGGGAGTGAGCTTTAGCTGTTCCCACAACCTTGGGCAAGGCTTTGCTCCTGGTCCTTAGGATCCGCAGAGCCTTTGGGACACCAAGGCTGGGGACAGTAGCTCTACATCCAGACCACACTCAGGAATCACCTGAGGGGGATTCAGATTACAGCCCGGGTCCAGCCCAAATCCAGTGGTTTAGGGTTCTGACATGAGGCCTGTTGGGATTTGTAAGACTGTCTTGGTGGCTCTAGTCACAGCCTGAGTGAGAGCTGCCGACCTGGGTGCTGATCCCACCCCTGCCCACGGCAGCTATTCCACAGCTGTGGCATCCCTGACACCCTTGGCTCCTGGCCTGATGTCTCCCTGGTCTTCATGGAATCCACAGCAGTCCATGTTGCCCTGGGGTCCATAGATGAAGGAGTGCACCAGGAGTGTGATGCAAGAGCACCCCTTGAAGTTGTGTAGCTGACGCTTTGTGAGCTCACTTCTGGCTGGAACAGCTAGGGTTGTTAGCCAGAGGCCAGGAGGGTGCAGAAGAGCACACTCGAGCTGGCATAGGTGTGAACTAACAGGACCAGAGCCACAAGGCCCAATTCTGCAGCATCCTGGGTGATCTTGGGTGCTACATTGTTTCTGCCAAGGACAATGGCAAAACCCTCAGCTTCTGCCCTGGTATAAGTGGTCTCCTGTCCGATGGGGTGGGGTATAATTTCCTCTTCAATGTCTTTGGTTGGTTCAGCCGTGGTTGGACTGCCTGCCCCTAGATTCCGACACACCCCACCCGCTTCAGCTCTCTCAAAGGGCACTTGCTTAGCGAGGCCAATCCTCACTGCGTTACTTAAAATGTCAGCTCACCCTTTACATCCTGACTTCGCTACCTTCTCTTGTTTGTCCCTGTGGACTGTCACCCTGTAGCACACAGTACTTGGCTATATTCACAGTGTGACCATCTTCCCCATGAAATGCAAGCTGCCCAAAGGCACAAGGGCTGACTGTTCTTGTTGCTTCTTAACCACAGTGCGTACCCACCACAGTGGCTTCTAGACTTACCTCTGACTCATTTCTAAAACCTGAAACCTGCCTGGTCCTCTCCCTGGTGTGAGTATCAGGGTGTGGCCAGCCGGTGGCTGACTTCTAATCACAGCTGACTCCCCACACCTGCCTGTGTCTTTTTCATAAGAAAAGGAAAAGCTGGACGTGGTGGTGCCTATCTGTAACTCTAGCTACTTGGGAGGCTGAGGTAGGAGGATCACTTGAGCCCCAGACCAGCCTAGGCAACATAATGACAACTTGTCATAAGAAATAGATGATTGATTGATTGATGATTCTGTCAAAAGAAAAGTTAACATGCTAATGTTCAAGCAGCAGTGTGGACTGAGCTTTCCCTTGTGAGGCAGCAGGCCAGGCTGAAAGTCTCCTGTCTGTAGGAAGGAGGAAGCAGAAATATGGCTGCAGAAGGATGCTTTGTGTCCTTCCCTTCCCTCTCAGGCTCTGCTCTTGGGGGAGAATGAGCAGTGTCTTGAGGGTACAAGGCTCAGAGGCAAACAGGCACCTGGCTGCCTCTGTGGACCTAGGGCAAGACCTTTGCTCTGCTGCAGACAGGACCCTGTCCAGGCAGTCACGGTGAGGCTGAGCCTCTCTGCTCAGCCACTGGAAGCTACTTGACTCCAACTTCAAATGACAACAAAATGTCACCGTTACAAGGGCTACAGACCCTATAGGGGGCTTCTGGGAGGACGTGGGACTAGAGCTGATGGCTGAGAGCCCTAGAGAGAGGTACACAAGACTACAGGAGACATTCATCAAACTTCCAGAAGCCCGAGGCAGCTGGGGGTGAATGGGACTTAGGTGAGAGGTGTGAAAGATGAATCCAGGCTGAGGGAAGGGAAGGCCAAAGGGTGAGGGAAGTCAGTGAGGCAGGAGTTGATCCAGAGGGAAGAGGCAGCTGGCCCAGTGACTATAGCTGCAAAGAACTTTAACCTTCAGGTTTTTGACTCACAGAAGCCCTCTAGTGGTTACCCAGTGGGCAGCAGCCTGAGGCCCCTGAGCGGGTGGCATGGCCTCTCCATCCCTGTGCTGCCCACTGCCTCCTGCTGCAGGCAGTCTCTCTCTCTCTCTCTCTCTCTCTCTCTCTCTCTCTCGCTCTCTCGCTCTCTCGCTCTCACTCCTCACGCAGGTCCCATGATTCTACTCCATCTTTCGAGGCCTCTCTGAAACCAGATTTAGCAAATAAGAGAACAGGATGCCAGATTAAACTGGAATTCCAGATAAACAGGTTATGTTTTAGTATAAGTGTATCCTGTGCGATGTTGGGGACATGGTTACATTAATTTATTGGGAATTTGAACTTAACTGGACATCCTGCATTTATATGGTGAATCAGCTCCTTTAGTGGCGGCTTGGGGTTAACCCAGTGGCCTCCTGCTCGTGGGTTGGCCCCTGGGAGCCTGGAGGGAAGTAGGAAGTGGTTCCTCGTGCTCTTTGAAAGCCACCTGCGAGGAGCTAGGAGGACGGACTTCTCCCTGGTGTCCTCTGGTCCCTCTTTTCTGACCCAGCCAGGGTCTTCATTCCTCTCTTGAGCCATGTGGGGGCTCCTATCGACTGCCCTCATCTGGAGCGACTTCTTCCTCCATCACCTATTGAAATCTTCCTGCCTCTCTTTCTGGGACCAGGTTCCTGAGTCTGGGGACTGAACCCCCGTCTTTATGTTCCCACAGAGCCAAGGACAGGGCCTGTCTTCTTCGTGGGTGTTAGAGGGAATCTCGAAAGATTTGAGTGAGCCTAGTTTCCTGCCAGGTTCTTGAGCCGTGAGCTCTGTCCGACGCCTTTCCCCAGGATGGATTGCCAGGAAGAAACCTCGGCCGGGAACATTCACTGCCTGCCTTGGGGAGAAGGGAGCTGCCCTCCCAGTCCAGTGATGCCCTCAGGCACTCCAGGAGGTGGGCGCTGGCCCCCGTGGCAGCAGGCTGCCACAGACTGACTCCCTTTGGTGGCCACGTGATGGCCAAGTGTGGGCTCCTCAGATACTCCATCGCCATCTTCACCACAGCATCACCGCCATCACCGTCATCACCCCCGTCATCAAGCCATTTCAGCCACACTGCTCAACAGGTCAGATACGACCTCTCATCCTCTTCCTAACCCTGTGAGTCAGAAGCACCCACCCCACTTTACCACGGTGTGATGGAGGCCTTTAGACATGGCCCCAGGGTGGATGAAGGCAGAGCCAGAAATAAGGACTTTCTGGTTGGCACTGTCTCGGCCTCTCCAGGATGCCCCATCCTTCCTCATAAAGGGAGGCCGGGAGTCTAGCTCGTACCTGAACTGCCACGTCAGCAAGATGGCCTCAACCTGCCCACCCCCTCAAAGATGCCCCTACATCCCTGAGTGGAGGGACCAGATGCCCAAGGGACCCACCGAGCCCTGAGCTTCTGTTCCCACTTCCAACCCTGCTCAGGAGTCTACCTCCCGAACCTGCCTTATCTTTGCTTGTAAGTGTGCAAGGTCACCAAGTTCAGGCTCTCCCCAAAGAGTCCTAGAACACAAATCCCCTTACCAAGATGCATTCAATTCTACTCTGTGTTCTTCTAAATACAGCTCTGCCTCATCGTGAAGCCAAGAGCCCTGTGGAGCTGGGAGGAGGGGGGCTGATGGGCTTAAGGCAGGGCTGCGTGGGAGCTGCCCCGTCACCCTACACCCTTAGCTCTCCTCTCCTGCTTTTGTCCCTGCAGGTCTAACTGGCTGAAGCCATGCTGTGGGAAGAGAGCAGCCATGTGGCAGGTATTTTTGCTCAGTGCAAGTCTCAACAGTTTCCTGGTAGCCTGTGTAATATTGGTGGTGATTCTCCTGACTCTGGAACTTCTAATAGATATAAAGCTTCTCCAGTGTGAGTAGCAAGAGAGATACCTATACGAATACGTATGATGTCAATATTCACTGTGCATTTATCTGCAACCATCAGGGGTCCCCAACAGGGAGGCTGTGAGGTGCCCCCTGCCTGATGCCACTGCCAAGCCGCTGGCCCCCTGGTCCACGGGGATGGCTGCTGGGGAGGGACGCATCTGGAAGCTCCTCTGTCATCCAGAATCAAGTGTGCCCTCTCTGCACAATGTGGCCTCTTCAGTCCACTCCCCTGCCCTCCATGAACAGAAACTGATGAGATTAAAAACTATGTTGGGGACCCCTGTGTGTATTTTTTTATGGTTCCTATTTGGAATTTTCCAGATTGGAATTTTTTGTAGCTTAAAGAGTTTCTATGTATAGAGGCACATGACCCTGTCATAACGAATAATGACAGCAGCCACAGTGATGCTAAGAGTCCTTGTATCTTTCCCCAGCTGTAAGTTGGCAGTGTTACTTACATACATTGTGATAGTTTTGCTTTTCGACACGTGGCCCACCAGCTGCCCTGCGTGATGTGATGGGCAAGACTGTACCATTCCATTTCATAGAGAGAGCAAGTTGAGGTTAGAGCTAGAGATGTGCCCTAGGTCCCAGGCTTCGAAGAGGAGTTTCCAGCCATTGGGCCATGTACCTCCTTGGCCCGTTCTCCCCACACTGAAAGTCATTTTGAGGCTCATTCCAGCTCCACGTTTATGGGAGCCAGATGCGCATGGCAACAGGAAGCTTGTCAACTGCCTCTCCTTCCCAGTTGTCCCCAGAAGCATGGCTGTAAGAGGAGAAGGCCCCTCCTACCACCTCCCTTGCAAACATGTTTGGTGCCACAGGGGCTGGGGGCCAAGGGTGTTGAGCGTTGGCTTTGGAGGAGCAAATGGTTCTCTTTCCCTCATTCCCTGATTAGAAGGGAGACCATTCAAGGGCAGATTTTAAAAAGGTAAAATGATTGAGTCCAAAGATGCTTCCTTTCCTGCTATTGTCAAAATCCAGGGCTAGAGATTCCACTGCCCCAACCCCCCATGGTCACCATGGGGTTGTATTCTCTAGCACCCTAATACCTCCTTTGTATTCAGGGTCTGTCGGGGTTCCCCCCTCCCAAGTCACATCACCTCCTAGTTCTCCAGGAAAGGGTGACAGCAAGCACAGAATTGCTTTTGTGTGATCAGCCTAGTTGGGTTTTATGTGGCTGGGAGCCCCTTGGTTCCAATTAAAATATTTTCCAACATAAAGAGACTGGTACTGGTTTTACACTCAACCTGTCTTCAATTAAACCATGTTGTAGACTTTCCCTCCCACTCATCCTTACTGTCTGCTTTTTATGAGGTCTGACCATACCGGGGCCTTTCTTCCCCTGTGGTGGATTGTCGTCGGGGCCCTCGGCCATTCAGATTGTGACAGGCATTGAGTAGAACTGAAAACCCAGCCGACAACTGGAATTTTGTTTAAAATTAAGTATCCAGGAGATTGATTTTGGTGGGAGATCCAATAGCAGCTCATAAAAGGCATCTTAAATTCCATAAAACGCACAATCAGAGATTTATTGCTCTTCTAAAGCAAACCGTAAAAAAGGCATAGGAATTCATTTGAGAAATAATGGGGAGAGATTTTATGTTTTCAGAATCATCCGGAGGTCTTTGCAGAGTCACCCAGGCCTCTGCCCCTTGGTTCCCTCTGGTATCCATGGAGCTCGGGGCACGAGGGATCCACAGCATCTCCAGGCACCTCTTCCGAGGGTCAGCTTGGCCCAAAGCCAGGGGTCCCCAGTGTCCTCCACCTGGATCCTGGTATTGCAGCCTCTTCCCCTCACATTTGTGTGAAGGCCTGGGTTTCACCCACCCCCAGGGCTGCACATCCCAGAGTGCAGGGAAACACTGTTGATTCTTCTGGATGGCCCTGGGCATCCAACAGGCTTGCTAGGGAGGCAGCACAAGCCCTTTGGTGGCAGCATCCCTCTCCCCGCCACTGAATCACTCTGCTCTGGGGAGCATCCCTCCCAGAACACCTCTCCCACCTGCTCCCACTCAGAGCTCACCCAGCCCTTGTCATGGCCCCATTACCCCGCTTTGGCCTCCCTTGCTGATAATCTCTGCCCCACTAGGGTTCCTGTAGTTAGGAGGGCCTTACAGAGACGCTGCCCAACTCCTGGCACAGCTGACCTGAGGTGAGGTGAGCACCATCAGAGCCCCTACACTCCTGCTGTGAGGCCTGGAAGGTGAGAGGTACATTGGGCAGTTCAGCCTCAGGCCTTGCCACTGTCACCCCATGTCCTGCTCCCCGTCCTAGGCTTCCTCCAGCCATCTCCGAAACACGCAGACACTGCTGTCTCTGCCACTCAGTTCTCAGGACAGGAAGTCACAGCAAACTGGAGCCTACTGGTCACGTTCAGGATTTGGGGTGACTGAGCTGCAGGACCAGAGCTCCTCAGGCCTCACTGGAGGGCTCCCGTCCTTTGCCTGCAGCCCCGCGGGCTGGAGTGACGTACAGCATCACTGGCCACAAACTTGTCATCTCCCTCACGACACAGTTAGGGCTGCCCTTGTCTGACCAGCCTAGCTGCTCCCACAGCTGGTGTGTCCCGAGGTCTGCCTCAATGCTGTGCAGTCCCGTACCCAACACCCCTAAATTCGGCCCTTGCTGTTCCTTGCAGTTTCCAGTGCATTGCAGTTTGCCGGCATCATTCACTGGATCAGCCTGGTCATCCTCTCGGTGTTCTTCTCAGAGGTAGGTGAAGACTCAGGCTGTGACCTCCAGTAGGGCGACTGCTTTCAGGAAGCCAGGCTTCACTTCCATACACATTTCTTGCTGGTCAGACCCGGAGGTGCTCAGGGAGAAGCTGGGCCTTCCCAGCTGCGAGGTTGAGTCCGAGCTGGCGAGCCTGAGAGGAGGCCCAGAAGATGAACAGGTGGTGTCCAGGCGAGGGGTGGCCACGGCACCATGAGGGGAGACTGAGCACGACGCTGAAGAACAGGAGGGATCGGTGGCCAGCAAGGAGCAGACAAGAGGTGAGGCAGAAGCCCAGGGAGCTGGAGGAGGGGAGCCGTGAGGACTCAGTGGCCTGACCCTTGGGGCCAAGGAAGCAGAGGACAGAAGATGTGTTATTGAGGCTAGAAGAGGGGACAGTCAAGGCTGAAGATGTGCCCTGGGGTGGGCAACGGGGTACATTTCTGAAGCAGTAACTGGGGACATGGATGCCCCTGGGTCTCACTGGATAAAAACCAAATTCACACATGCTAACTAGAGGCTCCCAAGCCTTCTGTGGGCCAGCTCCGACTGATCTATGGCGCTGCTGTCACTCTCCCTACAAAGAGGAGGACTGGGCCTGGGGCCTAGATCCGAGAATCCTGGGTGTGAGGTGTGCAAACTGTGCAGCAGGCATTCTAGAACATTCCCTTCCCCTGGCCCTGCTTTTTGAGCCCATGAAGTTGGCCAGCCTAGGCCCAGGGTTCAGGCTACAGGAGAATCTCTCACGCTATCCTCTGGGAAGCTCCCAACCAGCTTGCTGCCCCCAAAGCCATATGCCTGCTCCCAGTCTTGTTCCCCTGCGGGGTCCTGCTCCCTCTGGCCATATCTCTACTCCTTGGGATTCCCTCCCACAGACGCAGGGGCTGGGCCAGATGGCTCCAGCGTGCAAACCTTGGAAAATGCACTGTCTGTGGCTGCCAACAAAAATGTTTAATCAGTTGCTGTAGTTCTCCTCCTTCATCCCTCTGCTTTGGTTTTATTGGCTTTGGCAGAATTTATTGCCCAGTGTTAATTTGGCATCCCCTTCCTGTCACTGCCAGAGACAAACCACCTGAAACAGACGAGGCCCTGTGCACAGAAATCTCAGACCGAACCTCTCAGGCATCCCCCAAGTGGGGAAGGGGCCGGAGCTCCCCACAGGCTCAGTGGGAGCACAGGAGCTGGGGAGAAGGGCTGGGCCTCACCCTGAGCCTTATTGTGATGGTGAAGGGGGGCTGGAGCCTGGCACAGAGCAGCAGGGATCCCTGCCTCTCCTGGTACCCAGTGCAGCGTGAACAAGGAGCACAGCGAGCACAGGTCCAGGAGGCCTTACCAACACCAGGAAGACCAGGCCCCAGAGTCCCCTCCCCTGGGGTTTGGAAATGTGCAAGCTGTTTGGGCTCACAGTGACAGGGACACCTCTGACAGGAAGTATGGGGGGGCCAGTGCCTCTGACCTGACATTGTGCCAGTGGGATCTTTGTTAACCCACCCCAAGGAGGGGCACAGCCTGGGATGCACAGACAGTTACAGCCATAGCTAGACCCAGCTCTGCCACCTGAGCTGGTTTCTTGCCCCTGCTCTCTTGCCATGGGCCTTAGGCCAGCAGCTTGGGAGAGGACCAAGAACCTGGGAAAGACCAAAGCCAAAGCCAGGAATGAAAAAAGTAAAGGTTTGACCACAGCCTCAGGACAACCAGCCTCCCTCCTCTTTGGGGGAAACGGAGGTTCAGATCCCACCCCTTCTCTCTGGTGCCTGTTGTGGTGTGTGGCCAAGAGCCGGGTGCGGTCTGCCTCTTCTTGGGCCTGGTGGGCGGCTGCGTTTTGGCATCATCCAGGAAGTCAGTCCTGGGCCCCTCCTGCCCCAGAGCCCTCGCCCTGGCCCTGAGCAATCATTTTCCCCTTCACTGAGCAGAGCTTTGGGACAGCCTTTGGTTGCAGGACAGGTTGGGAAACTGAGGCCTGGAGTATGTGGAAAGCTCCCAAAGGACTATGAGAACCACTGCAGGTGGCTGGCGAGGAGGGCTGCTCTGTCTGCTCAGAGCCGGCCACCTGGTGGACACAGGCACTTCTCAGAGAGGCCAGGGTATGTGCCTCAGCAGGCAGGGCCCATGGTGCGTGAGAGTGGGTGCCCCAGAGGCTTCTGGGTGGGGCCACTACCCCTTTGTGTGGCCTGTAGCCTGAGAGTGAGCAGAGGCTTGGAATCTGAGGGTGAGTTGAGCAACATTTCCAAAGTGTACCCACCCCTGTCGGGGACCCAGCCAGCTGGCCACTTGGAATTGAAGCGAGGGCCAGAGCCCTAGGAGCCTCCTGGCTGAGGCTGGGATGCCCCATAATGGTGCCCAGGGTAGGTCCTGGGGTGATGGCCCCCGACTGTGGGGTCTGGAGAGGCCCAGGCCACCTGGCTCTTCCCAAGAAAGGAAGGACAGCTGACCCCGGCTGGCCTAGAAGGGAGCCTCAAGGCATGGCAGTGGTGGTGACAGTAGGGGTGTCAGGATTGTTGGAATCTTAAGGACATAGCCTTCTCAGTGTATGAGTTGGCACACAGTGACATGTGCCCTCCCTTCGCCAGTCCCAAAACTCTTCTGTCACCCCAGAGGAGACCTCCTCCTCACCAAGCAAAGCCCACCTCCCCCCACACCAGCTTCTGCTGTCTCTGTGAACTTAAATGTTCTGAACGTCTTGTAGAAATGGAACCATAAACCAGTGGCCTTGTGTGTCTGGCTTCCGTCACTTAACATGATGCTTCCATGGTTCATTTGTGTCACTACTGGATTGATACTTCGTGCCTTTTTTTCCTGAATAATACTCCACTGATCATATTTGTTTATCCAGTCATTGATGGATCAAGACTGCCACCTTCTGCTCCCTAGGGTGTCTGTGGCTCCTTAGTCTTTCGTCAAAACAACCTGTGCCAGAGTCTGCATCTGAGCCACCCTGAGGCTCTGGGTACCTGAGGTCCTTCCCTGCTTTCATGTCCTCCCCGAGCCCTGGGAGTCTCTGTCCTCAAGTAGGCAGTGAGTGGCTGGTGCTGTGCTTTACAGTCTGAAAGATGAAAGTGAATTTGGTTTCATTCCATGCTCGGCTGAGGGAGTGAGCTTGGCCAGTACAATCCTGTATGATCTTGGGCCCTTCATTGCCTCTCTCTGTGCCTTCCTCCCCATATAAGCACAGGGCCACAGGACAGAGCCACAGCAAGGCAGAGCCACTACCACCCCTCTCCCCACCCCTTCCCCCTTCAAGGCCCAGAGTGTAGGGGAATCAGGTCTCAGACCTGCCCTCCAGTGGGGATAGTGGCTGCTCTGCCACCCTGCAGGCTGCACCTGAGCAATGAGAAGCCTGTTTTGTTGACATTTTAAAAATAATCACCTTTTTTTATTCTAAAAGGCAAGACACAGCCTTGGGGTCATCGTCTTATTTGAAAATAGTGCAGGTATTTGTCAGAGAGCAGGCAGGAAAATCAGAGGAACCCAGGAACTCATGCCAATTCTGTGCACCCCTGCATCCAGCTGGCTTCCAGAAGAGCTGAATTCAATGTCATTTCCCCAGTATTTTATAAATCAAAACGTTATGTTAATGAATTTTGGGACTCACTAGCAGGGAAAGCATGACATGAATGTTAACATAGAAAACAAATTCTGAATTGTGGGTTACTTTGTGAAAGCACTCTGAACCTTGTTAACCTTGAATTACTGTGGCTTAATGGGCATTTGTGGGGCTGTTGAGAAATGATTACTTCCCTGCTCTTAGTGATCTTTGACCCCATGAAGCCACACAATACCAAGTGACACAATGGGATAGCAGAGCAGTAGGCTTGGAGAGAAAGCAAGGAGATTGTGCAGGCCAGACTGGGGACAAGCCTTATGCAGTGAGGTCCTCGGACGACCCAGGCAGGAGTGGGCAGAGTGGGATTGGAATTTGAGTTGCTCTACGTCACTTAGCCAGTCCAGTTCTGAGCTGTAAACTTAAGACCTGTCAGACTCCATTGGGATCTCTTCCCACCCTGTGTACTATCTTGCAGCTAAGCATGAGCTGCCAACCTGGAGGCTGAGAGGCTATAGAGGAGCTGCCAGGAACATGGCTGCCCATGTTCCTCTCAAAGAGACCATAACTGCCTGCTACAAGGTCCCTCCTTGTCCCTCCCCCTTCTTTAAGGGGAAGATGTCACCAGCCAGGTCTCTTCTGGCATTTAAGTGTGGGTAGATGGTGATCCAAGGGTTCTGCAGTATCCCTGAGCTCAGAAGATAGCCTCGAGGGACAGAGTTGCCATTGGATGTGAAACAGTGTCACTGTGGCTCAAGTAAGGACCACAGACAAAGCAGGGTGAGAGGAGACCATCTTTCTAGAATCTTCTGTGAAGAGACTGCCTGCTGATGAGGAAGCCAGTCCTGGAGGCCACAGTACTGAGGGATTTCTCCATGCATGCATTTATCACTCTGACACAGGTGTCACCATGCAGTGTCTACACTGTGACAGGGACTAGGGATAACAAGGAGCTGTCAGTGTCCTGTAGGTCTTAACCAGGGACTAGGGTGTGGAGCCAGGGTGGGGACTAGAGGACCACACAGATCTGAGGAAAGAGTACCCACTAAGCCTGGACAATGGGGAAGGCTCCATAGAGGTAACATCTGAGCTGGGGATAGAGGACAAGAGGGGACAGCACCCAGCTGGTTAACACACAGACTATGCTGCTATAACAAGAAAATGCCAAATGCAGGAGCTTAAACTGGGCAAGTTAACTGATATCACAGAAGGTCAGGTTTTGGGGTAGGCCCTAAAGGCATTGTGAGGCTTGGGGGTGTTGAGGACCTAGCAGGCTGCCATGTCCTTGCCCAGCCCTCCCCTGTTGGCGGTGGCTCAGGACTATCACACTAGTGAGCTTCCAGGGGAAAAAAAAAAGCAGGAGGAAAGCTGAGCCTGTGAGCACAACCTGGACATTGGCCAGAGCTTAGTCCTGTGGTCATGATGGGGTGCAAGGAAAGCTGGGAAATGTAGTCTTCAGCTGGGTGGCCATGCTGTAAGACAGAAGAGATACAGGGTGAGGGATATCAAGTGTCGGCCTTCATCATATGCAAAGACACAGACAAAAGGGAGGAGAAGAGTTTGCATGTTTGAAGACTTGTAAATAGTTTTGTGTCTTGAGGGGAGAGTCAGGCATTGTTAAAGAGGGAGGTGGGGTTTTGAGGATCCCTCCCTGGGGTTGGATGTGAAAGGTTTTGAGTGTGGCTGGCCTGGCACAGAGATAGGTAGCAGAGGTAACAAGAGTCACAGAGCTGGACACTTAACAGTGGGAATGAGGAAAGCACCAGGCTTAGGAGCGCATTTCCCCTGTGGCTGAGCAGGGAATCTTGGCTAAGGGCAAGAGCTGAAGAAGACTAAGCGCTTCTTCTCTCCTCAGACCGTCCTGCGGATTGTGGTGCTGGGCATCTGGGACTACATAGAAAACAAAATAGAGGTAAGGACCCAGGTCCGCCCCAGCCCCCAACCCAGACATCTGGGAGCTGGCAAAAACCATAGTCTCACCCGTCCCGGGGCCCCACCCTCAAAGCCAGCACTTCCTACACATGACCCGAAGTCCTGTCAGCCTCACAGGTTGGGTGGCTGGGAGGAGATGAGAAGGGATGACTTGGGCTGGTTTCCAACAAAAGGACGTTCTAAGAAATTCTCCTTCAAGTTCTACCCCATTTTTAAATTTATTGTTGGTTTGGAGAAGTAACTCATCCCCAGAGCAAGCACTTAGCACACATGAAGCCCTGGGTTCTATTTCCAGCACCCCCCCACCAAAAAAAAAAGTTTTTTTCTTGATTCAATTTGAAGAGCTTTTGAAATGTGCTTAAAAAACAAACAGATCCCCTCTGATGTGGTGCAGCAGTCAGGGAACTAAGCAGGATAACTGCAGACATGCTTCTCAGGCTGGGCTTGCTCTCTGCCCCCAGCGGGAGAGGCAGGCAGGGCTGGGCACACAGACCTCGCTGTGCTATCACTGGTTTTGCACACACAGGTGAGACGCAGTATTGAGGGCCCAGGACTTCACCGTGCAGTCAGCCCCTCCTCTTCTAGTCCTGCATTCCATGGGGATGGGGACTGTGTGCTGTTCCAGGTGACACATGGCCCTGGACTCTTGCTTCCCACGGGGAGAGAGGACCCTGCGCCCCAGCCTCTCTCTGGTTCTGGAGCTCTAAATGCCCCTTGTCCCACAGGTGTTTGACGGGGCCGTGATCATCCTGTCCTTGGCCCCGATGGTGGCATCCACTGTGGCCAATGGACCCAGGAGCCCCTGGGATGCCATCAGCCTCATCATCATGCTCCGGATCTGGCGGGTGAAGAGGGTCATTGATGGTGAGTGGCCTAGGGGGTCTATGGAGCTGGTAGGAGCTGTGTTAGCCACTGAGGGAGGGGTGAGGCTCAGGGTGAGGAGAGCCAGGCCTGCCCACCCTGTCCAGCCACAGTGACTCCAAGCTTTTTACTTCTGCAAAATCCTATCCAGTGCACAAAGCACATTGGCTCAGAGCAGATGACCTGAAACCCACCTCATGCCCTCCCCTTGTTCTGTTTAGAACCACGGGGGACAGATGCTATGTGTCCTACCGCAAGTGATAGCAGCTGTGGCTCCAAGTATCTCCCACAGTGCTTGCTCAGCGGGTACTAGGCAGGCAGGGGGCACCGGGCCCATTCCTTGGAGTGCCCTGGCCCTGTCACCAGCCCACACTGCACCCTGAGGACACTGGGCCCTGGTCCTGCTTCCACCTGACACTTTGTCATGCAACCCAGATACAGGATCATTGAATTGGCATGTGCTGGGGTCCAGCTACATCTGGAGGATCATGTATTCCATTCCCTTCATTTGACAGATAGGGAAACTGAGGCCAGGGGGGCTGAGGTCACACAGCAGATGGGTGAGCAGCCCCTGGCTTCTCCTGACAGCTGTGCACAGTGGCACCCCTCACACTAATAGGCTTTAACAACCTGGTGCCAACCCCCTTTCCAGCTGTCCCCCTGCCCGTGAGCCTCATTGTGTAGACTGTGGCTAAGCAGGCAGGTGTGGATTTGCTCCCTGGCCTCAGGAGCTGTGAGCCACTGGGCCTCTCGCCGTCTTGAGGCACACGGCTGCCCTCAAGTCCAAGCAAACTGAAGAGATGCTGTTTTCCCTCTGTGTGCAGTGATTGCTACAGCCAGGGAAAGTCCAGCATTGGGGACACTGGGCAGAAAGTTGTGCAGTGTAGATGTAGAGGGTTCTAGAAGGTAAGAGGGGCCAGGGTCTGGAGTTCCTGAGGGATCAGGATGGGCCAGGTGGCCTGAGGTGAGAGAGGGCATCAGGGGAGAGCCCTGTTTTAAGGTTGAGAATGATTCTGAGATTCCTAAGAAGCCCCCCAGCTGTTGAGCCTGGGAACTGCCACACAGGGCAGATGCTGGAGGGAGAGCCCAGGCCTCCACGCTCGGTGTCCAGGCTTTCTCCACACGTCAGCTTTAGTCAGGATCCTCTGTAGCGGAGACCCAGATGAGCAATGACCCCAACAAAGCAGCAGCTTGTTTCTCTCATGTGAGCATCTGTGGCAGCTGCAGGCAGTGATTCAGCAGCGCCCCGTGTGGTCAGGATCCTGGTCTGGCTGTTGTGTCACTCTAAGCCAGGGATGGTGAACCTTTTAGAGACAAATGTCAGACTGCAACTCCAAACCCACTTATGTATCACAAAGTGCCAACACTGCCATTAAACCTGAATATTGAGGTTTTAGTTTAGGAAAACAATTCATACATTAACATCTTCTGTCTTAAAAGAAAAACAACGCATGTGCCACAGGCTCACCACCACCGTTCTAGGCTCATATCCTATTTTTTGGTCGTGGCCTAAGATGGCTGCTCCATTGCCAGCCATCACATCTCCACTCTGAGGAGGAGAAGGGAGGAAGGTGATCAAGAAGCAAAAGGACAGCCCCAGCTGCAGTTTGCCTGTGTGTCTACCATCCACTTATCTGGGGAAGCAGCTTGTTTTGAGGGGTTATCTCCAGAATCCCAAAGAACTATGTATTAATTCTCAGTTATCCCCTGTGCCTCAGGGACCTCACAAAGCTCTGCCTAGGAAGATGATATACATTGCCTTTTGTTTTTCCGAGGCCCCAATCTTTCCTCCTTCAGCTACTTAGTAACAACAGGAGGAGGAGAAGTTGGTGAGAGAGAGATGTGTATAAAGAGTAATGCATAGGAAAATAGGAACACGTCCTACCCAAGGTCCCTTTGTCCTGTCCCGGTAGCTTCGTTTCTCTTTGTGTTGGATCATGCTGCTTGGAAGCCACTTCCAGCGCCAGAGCCATCAGTCTAAGATGGCTGCCACAGTGCCAACCATCACCTCCTGAGGCCACTGGTAGCCACAAAGGAAACTGGAGAAGACTCATTATTCCAGGCAACTGGAATATGAGATGCAGTCATTCCAACTTGGGCACATTCCTGACCCATAAGATTTGCAGGGATCTGTCAGGCAGGTTCTGACACCTGATTCATCTTTGCTGTCTGTCCAGCTCAGGGGCTATAGTTTGTAGAGCAACAGTGGGCTATGTGACAGGAATGTCACACTCGATGTTAGCTGATGGTTGAAGAGGTCATGAGTGAACCTGCAGTTTCCATCCGGCCAGAGCCCCTTTCTAGTTGGACTGCAGTTGGAGCCAGTGCTTGTCTCCTTCAGCCTGGATCACGGGCCGGTGCCACCCCTAGACCTCAGGGTCCAGCTTCAGTCTTCCACACTGGTCCTGGTGGCCCTGTCTGCCATCTCCGGCTGGGTTGTGAAAGCTGCCTTGTCTTTAATCTCTTTCTTGAAATTAACTCACATGCTATGAAATCCACTCATTTAAAGTGCACATTTCAGCGATGTTTCATGTACTAATAGTTAGGCAGCCGACACTAAACCTAAGGTCAGGGCACTCTGTCACCCAAAAGAAACCCGAGCTCGCAGCCATCTCTTCCCATCTGCCAGCCTCTGGCCCACACGGATCCACGTCCCACCTCTGCAGAGCCGCTCGTCATGAATCCACCATGTAGATGGAATTTCACATGTGGGATTTTGTATCTGGCTTCTTCCACGCATCAGTGTCCTCAGGGCTCATCTGTGTCACCCATGCATCTGTATTTCCTTCCTCAAGTGCTGTTGGATTGCATTTCATCTGTTCCCTCTTGCGTTGGTGAAAGTTTGGGCTATTTCCACCTTGGGCCATCATGAACAACCGTGTGCGTTGCTGTGCAGGTGGTTTTGGGTTCTCAGGCACCTACCTAGGCATGGGGTCGCTGGGCTGTGCCACTCGGTTTCCTGTGCTGAGGGGCTGCCAAGCTATTCTCCAGGTTGGTTGCATCCCAGCAACGTGTGAGGGTCCCCACCACCCATCCCCATCACCCCGGCACTTTTTAAGGCAGATGCCAGGCCCCCTACACTGCACCCACTGTCCAGGATGTGTCCCCTGCCACTGTCAGCTCCAAAGGAGTCCAGAGGACAGTCATTGTCCAGGCAGCCGTGACGACAGCCCACATTAAGTCCCTGCTAGCACAAGGAAGTGTCTCCCCAGCAGCTTGAGTTCAGCTGCAACCCCTGTGCTTTCCAGGTGCGCGCGGGTGCTGCCCATTCCTCATGGGCTGTCTGTCTGTCTTCCAGCATACGTCCTGCCCGTGAAAGTGGAGATGGAGATGGTCATCCAGCAGTACGAGAAGGCCAAGGTCATGCAGGACGAGCAGCTGGAGAGGCTGACGCAGATCTGCCAGGAGCAGGGGGTAGGTAATGTGCAGCGTGGTTCTGTCCTGTCGGTTCTGAGCAGGCCCTGTGGGGAACACTGGAATGCCCGGAGCCCCAGGACCCCAGAGCTCAGGGACACAAGGTCAGGGAGCCCCCAGGGTAAAGTCCTTGTCATTGTGCCACAGTGGTCCTTCTGCTCCCAACTGAGCAGCCGTGTCACCACCCATTCATCCACCAGCACTCGCAGGGGCACAGTCCCCAGGAATCAGCACCGGGCCCTGGGATACCCCAAAGAGGTGCACCCTGCCCACCAGGAGCCCAGGAAGGCCCTGTGAGCACACTGGGCAGCAGGGTGGGGTGGGGCCCTGCTGCTTCCTCTCCCAGGGATTTGGATCCGTGGGTCCCTCATCCATAAGGTGGGGCACAGCTCTTTCCAGGGGACTCAGAGGAAAGGCTTGGGTGCCAGCCAGCCCCATAGCCAGGCTGCAGGGCTCTGCAGAATCACAGTAGGTGAGGCTCCTATGCAGGTCACATAATGGGAATGTCGGGGTGAGGGACAGATGACAGATGGGTCATTGCCATCCTGCCCCTTGGGCTCCCCCTTTCTCTATGATCCAGATAGGCTCAGCCTGCCACCCGCAGCACCCCAGGCTTGCAGTGCAGTAAGGACAGCCACCCTTGTCCCCCCACTGACTGTACACAGGGTACCTCTGGGGGCTCAGGGCTGAAGTCTTGCCTGTTGCGCACCACGTGCCTGCCCATCTGTTTTGTCAGGCAACCGCATCTGTCCCTCTGTTTACAAAACACCACAGCCTTACATTTGGGCACAGAATGCTTCTGAGTGACAGGCAGGGTCCCAAGGGACACATGGTCCAAGGGACCTGGAAGCAGGCAGTCTACATGGTCTCTCCACTGTGTTCCGGACTTGTGCTGGGCATCAGGGATTCCAACCTAGACTGCATGTGGCCACCGCCCTCATAGGCTTTGAGGGTCTCATGGAGTTTGGCAGCCCAGACAGGAGTGGTCTGGCTCTGAGGCCATGGTGAGAGGGGTTTACAGGGCACTGACACCCACAGAGAATGTGTGGTATAGGAGCCCAGGCCTGTGCCCAGGGTAGCAGGCAGTGAGAGGGCTGCAGGGGCTGTGGAGGGCCTGGGCTGGCCAGGGCCTCCAGCCTCATCTTGGGAAGGAATGCTGGAAGTCAGGTGGGAGGTGTCGGCTGTGATGTGAGTTTTGTGGTCCTTCCTGGCTGCACTGAAGGACAGGGAGGAGAGAGCACATGGGACCAGAAGACTATGGAGAGACTCAGTTCTGTGTGTCACCCAGAAGCTGACTGGGGGCTATCAGTGGTTTTCAATGTGTGGCAGGATGGGAAAATAAACCCGCTGCCTCTGCAGTCAACAACAGAAAGACACTGCCTCTGGCCCTCTTAAATGCACAGCCGCCACATCCAGTGGGGGATACGCTGACCCTGCCTCTCACCTCCCGTCAGCAGCATGCATGTCAGCTGGCCAGGAGGAAATCCTAGTGGCAGGCCCACCCCTGCATCTCCACGGCAACTCCTGTCCAGAGCCCCCCAGTCTTGGCCCACATGTGGCCACCTTCCCAAGGGGCCAGGCCGCAGGGAAGCTCCCCAGGCTTCTGCACAGGAAAGAGCCAATAAATACAGACAGGTCCCTCTCACTAGCAACATCTGGAAAAGAGATGAACAGAAACAAACCATCTTAATTCAAAAGCCACCTGAAGCCTGTCATCCCAGTTAAGACGGCAGAAACAGCCCAGCAGGCTGGATCCCAGGGGGCTGCCAGGGAGACCTGGCTAGGTGGTGCTTGGACTTCTGCAGTGAAACCAGGAAGCTGCTGTCTAGGGACTGCAGAGACACCAGATTTGAGACTCTCCTGGGCATGTTGTCCCTGGAATGGCAGGCACAGCCAGAAGCCCCGGGAGAGCAGCCTGTGATGGGTAAGAATAGACATTAGGGACAACTAGGATCAAAGCCAGCCCTGCCCCTTGTGCTTTGGGCATTATTGGGACTTCTGTGGGCCTAAGTTTTGCTTACCTGGAATTGGGGATGGCAGTAAAACCCTGGAAGGACCAACATGAGGCTGCTGAGCTTAAAACCTGGTACATGATCAGTCTCGACAAGAGGTGCTCATCCATCCTGTCCACCAGGCCCATGTGAGCCCCACCTGGCCCACAGTCCCGTGGTGGGGACTCACCCAAGAGTGCACGTATCCCAGGCACCCTTCCTGGTTGAGGCAATATTTGATGTTTGTCAAATTTTCCTGCAGCAACCACCCCCCCACCTTAGTCTCTTAGAAAGGTTAAAGTGCTTCTCCCGTGACCTGTAGAGACTCTTCTCAGGTGACACGTTTGCCGATTGACATGAACACCTTGGACGTTTCATCTTCTGTGCCACCTAACAACTCACTACTTGCCTCCAGCCGTGCCCATGATGCCCAGAACACCCTACGCTCCAGAGGGAAGGCCCACTAGAGGGTTTCCCCACTAGGGTGTGGGGTAGAGCAGTGTGCCCAATGTCACAAAGCAGTTTGGCAATTAAGAGGAAAACGGGGTCTCCTGCGGGTCACCCCAGGCTTCTCTCTGGACAGGGAGATGAGATGTACCGCTTTTCTCATTCCCTTGCTCTCCCGTGACCCCTGGGCACTACCCTAACATTAGAGGGCTGAGGAGAGAGAAGACTCACCCCAGTCAGTCTGACCTCTCCTAGGCCCTGGCCAACCTTGGTGGCCTGTATCCACAACACCTACTGCCGAAGGAGAGGTAAAAACCTTGGATCCCAAATCCCTCTCTAAAACTGGAAGTTCCTCCCTCTCAATTTTGTTTCCTTCTCTGGATCCCAGCCTGAATTTCCCTAAGAGCTAATCACACTCCAAAGGGGTCTGAGGCAGGATGCTGTGGCTGTCCTTCAGGAAGACGGGCTGAGCTGTCTGTCTCTGTGTACCAGCTACTCCAAAAATCAGAGCCGTTCAGATGCAGGGTTAATTCAGTGCAGCGTTCTGTCCTTCTGACTCATCTTTCAAACCCATTTGGGAGATTTTTATGTGGATCCATGCCTAAGATCCTGCTCTGATCCTAGATGCCCTGGGCTACCTGCCCTTTGCCCTCTAAGCCTTGCAGTAGCTTTTGGTCCCAAATCATATGATCTGAATGGGGCTGCTATGGAATTTAGTTTCTCTCTGGGTTTCACAGGGAACACAGAGGGAAGCTGAGTTTCCTCAGCTTCTGCCCCTGTGGCTTCTGCCCCTGTTTCATTAACAAGATTCAGTTACACAGGCCCAGGCCAGATGCCACAGGAGCCTTCTGTGTGCCCCAGAAGAGGCAAGGTCACCTGCACAGTTGCCTAATCTATAAACCAGGCCAATGGGCTCATGAACTCCCTACCATTTCCCCATTCCTGTGTGGCAGGAGTGCAGTCTCCCCACAATGTCCCTGGTGTCCATCTCCCTGCCTGTTTCTTGGAGAAATAAGGCAGTAATCTTGACCTCAGCTCAGTGTGTTTCTGAAGGAGGAAGGTGACAGAGGGCAACATGATTTTCCCCTCTGTGCCCTTGGGCTGAGGTCAGAGCAGACCTGTAAGTAGGGAGCGGAGCCCCTTCCTGTCCTGCAACCTCAATCTCAGCACCCAGAGAGGAAGTCCCGCTGCATTTGTGCACAAAAATCACTCGCTTTAGAGGCTGGGCCCAAGGCTCAGAGTTGCCAAGCAGGCAGATGTAGTAGGAAAACAGCGAGGACAGGTTCTTTCTCTAGGATGGGCTAATGCTGGATTATCCCAGAGAGTTCTTTCTTTGCAGGGGCCACAAGTCCCAGCTTGGCCCAGTTGCCTTCCTTACCTGGACTAGTCAAGATCTCTCCTGTGGGAAGAGGATTTTTTTTTTTTTAATTTTAACAGGGGAAGTGATTTGTAAAAGAGCTGATAGCTTTAATGACAAGCCTATTTAGTTGATAAAATTAGCCATCAGAGAAATAACTTATGTTATCCTTTTGCCATCATTTAAATTTATGACCAACTACCAGTCATCTTCACAGTGGATGGAAAGGGGCCAAGGTCAGTCTCAGCTTCACCCTGGCCCTAAATCATGAGTTTGCAACTGTCTCCTGATTTTTATTGTTACCAACATTGGTGGAACTAATGGAAATAAACATTGGATGCCATCCCAAAAGCAGATGGGGTGGAAGGCAGGGCAATCGGTGTAGACAGCACTAATAGGATGGAGCAGAATTATTGCTATTGCATTAGATACCATCGAGCTCTAGCCCCGGAGAGCATTGATCGGACCAAGGGCCATATCAAGTGGACTCCACACCCAGCCCATTAGAGGCAGAGAAGTGCTGGGTGTGGCCACAGCCGCCCATGGGTCCGGCCCACTTGGCCCTGCATTAAAAACTATCCGTGGAAGGGGCCCGATCCACACCAGTAATGCACACCTCGGGCTTCCCTGTGGACCCCAGCCCATCTGGTCGGGTTATCTGATTAGAAATACTTAGCTAATGACGCACAGTTAGTGGGGCTGTGACTGCACTTTGATTCTTTCCCAGCCTGGGGTGAACTTCTTTTTTCCCAACAGGCCAGTTTGCCGGTGGAAGACTTGTTTCCTTCAATCATCAAAGCCCCTGTACCTTCTTCTGGGGAGCCTGAGTGCTGGGTGGTTCTTGCTATGTGGACTTCATCATATCTCAGTGTGAGGCTTCTGTTTATCCTGCCCAGGAGTGCTTAAGTTTCTGGAAGTTTCACATTAGATTTGGAGTTGGGCGCCATATGATTCCTTTTTTCATTTTGATGGTAGGGATTGGACCCAATGCCCCTCACGTGCTGAGCAAGTGCTTGCCCCAAGCCACACCCCTGGCCCTGGAATGGATGGATTCATTGCTTCTGTCACATTTTTTTTCATCCTCTTCTGGAGCTTTAATCCTGTGTCGGGCCAACTGACCATGTCTCGTGTCTCTCTTATACCCTATACTGTTCCCCCACTGCCTCTCTTCTTTTCTCAGGCTGTAAGTTTTGATGTTTTCATTGGCCTGTTCAAAAACCCTGTCTTCTATGATATCCAGTCAGCTGTCACTCTCATCGATAGAGTGCTTAATTTTAAATATTGTGTGTGAAGGTTCTGCGTTTCATTGGATTCCTTTCATAGATTCTAATTCTTTGCTATGTTCATTTTGCCCATCTTTTCTTATTTAACATGTCGATTGTACTTATTTTAACATCCTTTTTTTCTTACTGGCAGCACTGAGGATTGAACCCAGGTAGTTTTGAGGTGCATCCCCATCCCTTTTCTTTTTCTTGTTTGTTTTGAGACAGGCTGACTAGAACTTGCAATTCCCCTGCCTCAGCCTCCCAAGTAGCCCTATGTTATCTCTTTACTCAAATATTTACAAGGTCAGCTTCTACTGACTGCTTTACATCTTGATAGTCTATGACTTCTCCCTTCTTATTTGCATGACAGGTGATTCATATTCCACGCTGCACAACGCTGATGGTCCACTTTAGAGGTTCTGGATTTTACTTTCTCTAAAAACTTATCCCCCGGAGTGGGATATCCCGGCAGAGAGCAGGGGTCGGCCTCAAGATGACACTGAGAGTTAACTGGCCCTTACTCTAGCTTCCCCCCTGAGACAGTGCTGAATCCATTGCAGACCCAGAGTTCAGCGAGGCTGTTTGCCTTATTGGACAACACGGGGAATAAAGAGACCCAGAGTTGGGGATGGGGGAGCAGCAGCTCAGGTTCCTGCCCCCTGCCCTCGGCTCTCCCTGCATTGGGATCTCCTGCTCTTTCCTGGCCCTGCAGCCACTGAGCTGCTGTATGCTCTGTTTGTCTGAGTCATTTTCCATCTGTACATTGCAAGCTCCCTGACACAAGGTCATGGTGTTGGAAGCCAGAGTCATTGTTGTGCCCCTGCTTTACTGCAGAGGTGCCATGTGGTCCTCACCTCTGCCTGCCCTCTCCCCACACAGAGAGTTTCTTCCTCCAGGCCTCAGTTCCCTCTCTGGACTAATCAGCTTCTGCCCTCCTGGAGCCCTTGGCAGCCCTTCTGGTGGCTGCAGGAAGCACTTGTCGCTATGGTAAGGAGGACAGACGTCAGGAGCCAGGTTCTGAGTGTCTCACTGGAACATCCTGAGACCTCCTGGGCTGCCCCAGTGGATGACCAGAGCTGAGAGCCACATTTCCCCTTGGCAGCTCCCCTCTAAGAAGCAAGGCCCAAGAGTGTTGGGCCACTTCACTGCCTCTGGATAGGAAGCTTGTAAAACTGTGCACAGAGCAGGCTGTTCTCCTCCTCACCCCACCCCAGTCCCTGCCACCCACCAACAGCCTCACTCCCAAGTCATCTCTTCTCCATCTGCACTGTCTCCATCCTGGCCCATCCAGTCCATCCTCCACTCTGGGACCAGAGTGGCCCATTTAGGCTGCTCCCTGGGTCACCACCCACTACCTCCACCAGCCACCCAGCTCTGTGAGGATTTCAGTGGCCTTTTTGCTCTCTAGACGAAGGCCGAGTCTTCCAACAGCTCACCGTGGCTACATTGCCTGGTGTGGCCCTGCAGCCTCCCAACCCCTCTTACCTACTGATTCTGTCTCTTGTATATTCCATGCTGCCTCTGTACCAGAGTCACCCAGGGATCACCCCCCAGGCTGGGGCAGGTGTTTTCATTGCAAAACCTAACAGAATTTTAATGTGGCCCCAGCAGGGTTTCCCAGGGACTGAACGGGTGAATGGGAGAACTACCCGCAGTGGGAGCTCACATCTTTAGCTCGAAACTCATATCTGTGCACACGTAGGCTTGGGGCTGGACAAGCCCTGTCCTCCAGCTGTCTGGCCTGAATTCCAGTGGGACTTTCTAGGGCAGCTCCGTATCAATTTCAGGCCATCAATAATGCATCCCTTCAGAATGGCCCGGGAAGCCATTAGCTGGGCCTGTGGGCCCAGACGCGTGGCCTTGGAGAAAGCGGACTGGGGTGCCCAGGGGAAGTTCAGATCAGCCTGGGCGGGGGCTCCCACTCCAGATGAGCTCAGCAGGGTTGCCAGCATAGGCCCTCAAAGACCTATGGGCTTTGCTGCCAGGGAGTAGCATGTACCCTCTCTTCCTGCACAAAAGCCACCCCAAAACAGGCCAGCCTCGCTCTCCCATCCTCTGAAACCAGAAGCCCCACTAGGTTTCTAGGGTCTGAGCCTCATCTGAGACCAGTCAGGGCAGAGTCTGTGGCCAGGTTGGGACTCTACCTCTGCCTGCCCTCTGCCCACACAGAGGTTCCTCCCTCTGCCCGGGCCTGTCTCAAATTTGGGTAAGTATTGGGGCACAGGTTGAGGCAGGAGTTAGGCTCACACTAAAACCACAGAACTAAACAGGCTACCAGTTTGTTCACTCTTTTAACAATGCTGCCTGAGCACCTGCAGTGTGCCAGGCGACATCACAGTGAGGCTGCTGTCCAGTTCCGCTTGAGGGTGGGATGGCCACGTGTGCTGGCGCTCTTGCCATAGTGAGAGCCAACTGTACACATTTCTGCAAATGCCTATGACACTGTGTGAGTGGACTGCAGTCAGCCACAGTGGAAGTGTTGATACTGAGAGATTAGCATACACTGCGAAGAATCTTTTTTACCCCTAGCACACTGTCAGGGGAGAGAGAAGCCCCACAGATAGTCCTTACACAAAGTGGGGAAGGAACGGCATGTGTTTACCTGACCTTTTTCCTAAACCCCACCAATAACCACAGTAAGGAGGGGAATGAGCATAAGAGATAAGAAACTGCCCCTTGTCCTGTCATCAGAGATTTCAGAGGATTTGGGGAAAACAAAATAGACAAAGCAGTATGGAGGGAAAGGGGTTGATTCTCCCCTCCAAGCCTCAGTGTGTGGAGGGACAGGATATGGTGTGTGACAGGGGTGGGGTGGCCAAAAGCCTGCACTCAGCGTTCAGAATCCCTGAGGGCCCTTCTGAACCCTGAATGGTCAGGAGATGAGCCCACCCTCCCAAGTCAAGAGGTTTGTCTTTGGGAGAGATCGAACTGCGGGGATCTGAACATGGGTAATGGGTTAGTCAGGAGCCCAGGAGAAATGTGGGGCTGGAAACGAAGATCAGTGAAAGCCCTACCCTCAGTGGTAGCAATGGTGTGACCCTCAGCCCCAGTCCCTGCTCAGCTCAGAGGCAGCTACAGGTAAAACTCCAACCTGAACAGGTGCAGGGCCACACAAGAGACGCTGACAGCAGGAAGGTGGCCAGTGCCAGTTTGCTGCCTGGCCAGCCCAGCACTAGGAAGTGCTTTTAGTTACAGACGTAGTCTACTTCCACAAAAAGAAGTAATGAAAAAGGAATATACACGAAAATATCAAAACATGGTAACTGCGGCACAGAGAATTCAGATGAACTGGCGTGACAAGTGCCTGTTGTAGGTGGGAGTCGGGAAAGTCTGGAGCGGCCAGGGAAGCGCACAGCTGGTGTCTGTATGGAGACGGGAGGAGATGCGTGTTGGCTAAATGGGGAGGACCAGCAAGGAGCGTGACTTCCTCTCGAGGGCGGTGGTGACACTGAGTTTTGGGGATGGGTGCAGTAGTCTGATGGCAGTAGGGGACACAGAGGCTGGGCTGGCCAGGTGCGAGCTGGCAGGAGACGTGGGACACAGTGGGCAGCCTGAGAGAGCACTTGGGGTAGGGCTGGATTCAGAGTAGCTTGGATGTTGGGGAGAGGGAAAGGAAGGAAGCAAGGCAGATGATTCTGTGTGCAGCTCTGGCTAACAGGAGCTGGGATATCTGTGGCCACATCAGGTTAGGGGACGGTGGCATCCTGTTGGACCTGGCTGTTTGCAGCTTCCTTGAGCTGGCTGAGTGGCACTGTTAGGCAGCTGGGGGTAGTGAATGTGGCATTCAGGGAGGGATCAGGGCTGAGAGAGCTTCTGGATATCACGGGAGGGATCCACCCAGACCACTGTCGCCTTCCCTGCTCTCCACACCCCTGCCGAGAGCATTGCAGTGTATGCTCAGGACACTAGGTGGCAGAAAAGCCTTTTCTGAGCTCCCACCAGGCGTCCACGTCAAACCCACACTTGGACTACCCTCAGGTGTCAAGGGAAGGCTGGCTGTGAGCAGCCATCCTGGCCACGAACCAAGAGGCATCTGCAAGGCATTTTAAGGAGTTTTCCTCAACAAAAAAATAAACCATGTTAAAAACTTGTGCCGTTTTTACAAAGTCCTTAGCAAGCAGCCCAAACCCTCAAACAAGGAAACAAAGGCTGAGGAAGGCAAAGGTCTAAGGCCACATGGCCAGGAAGATGCAAGGTGGGACCTAAAGTCCAATCCTCCCCGCTGTCCTTGGAGCGTGAGGCACCGGAGATCTCTAAGGAGCGTGGCCTGTAGGCTAGGGCTGCTTAGTTCTCCCTTCGTCCCCCGCCCCACATCAGGAGCAAGCACCTCATGTCAGGTCTCGGTCCACTCAGCTCTCCAGCACACCCACCTGGCCCTTTGCCTCTTACAGTTTGAGATCCGGCAGCTGCGCGCCCACCTGGCTCAGCAAGACCTGGACCTGGCCGCAGAGCGGGAGGCAGCCCTGCAGGACCCGCACGTGCTCAGCCATCCTCGAAGCCGCTTCAAGGTGGTGGAGGCTGGCGCGTGGGATGAGGAGACTGCGGCTGAGAGTGTCGTGGAGGAGCTGCAGCCCTCACAAGGTGAGCCCAGTCTTGGCATCTCGTGAAGTCCCCAGGGTTTTGAGTTCCTGGAGCTGAAGTGGCTTTGCCCCCTCCTCTGCCCACAGTCGGGGGACCCTCATGTCAGGGGGTCCTCAGTTCTGCTTTGCAGAGTTCAGGGAGAGCACTGAGTTTCCCTGCCCCAGGCCCAAACCAGAAATGATCTTTGGCACTCATGCTCTGTCCATATGTGTGGGTCAAGGCGGTGTGTACTTCTTGCCCTCCCAGCATGGGAGGTGGTGGCCCGGGAAAGCCACCCAGTGGCTCATCACTAATGAATGGTAGAGCCAGGCTTCCGGTCAGACCCTGGGGCTTTCTTTTTGGACTCTGCCTCCCAGGGTGCAGAAGAAAAGGCCAGGCCTGGGCTGCAGCACCCCACAGCCTGTTTTGCAATGGGAACAAACAGAGAGTGGAGCGTGGAATAGAGGTTGTGACCGAGGCAGGGAATTCAGCTTTTCCAGGCCTTGGTTTTTCCACCCTTGTGAAGGGAGCAAAACAGCCTTTCTCGTGGGCAGTTCGAGGAACTGCACAGGGCCCCAAGGCAAGGACATGATGGTGCTGGGATCACAGCAGGACAGAAACCCCAGCTTGAGCCCATGGTGACTTCGCCTTGGGATGCTGTGTCCCATTTTCAGGGCAGCGACTACAGAGCCAGGTAGGCTGAGCAGGTCAGGAAGTTCTGCCGCTCCTTGGCTTCAGTGCAGCTTTCTGTGATGTGGACTCCTAGCTCGAGGTCCTTTGGCCTCACAGGAAGCATGCAGAGCCAGTGGATATGAGAACGCCCTGGCACTGTGGGTGGCTTAGGGGACAGGAGGTCGCTATTCTGGTGCCTTAGGAGAGTGTCAGATTAGGAACCACAGAATCAGGCCAGGAGGGGCTGCTGTGCGCTGCATTGAGTCCCTGCTGTGGCTCTGCCAGGAGGCCCAGGCCCCAGCACACCAGGAGCAGGTGCCTGACCCCTCCCCACAGCCTCCCTGCTGCGGGGACTCTGCTGCCAGGAAGATTCTTCTGCAGAGGATCTGTCGCCCAGGCCATCCTCTCCCTTGCCAATGTGGTGCCCTCCCTGGTGCAACCTCCTTCCAGACACTGCTCTGGGGATATCACCTGCACGCTATGGCCACTTCCCGGGGTAAAGCTCTCCAGATCCTTGCTGAGTTCTGACCCCTTTTGGAGGGGCATCCAGAACCAAATGCAGTTTCCGGGGTGTTGCAAGCCCAGGGCATGGAGTCATACGACCAGGTTCCCCATGATGCCACCCCAGGTGTCCCCCTATCCTAGGTGGCTCTGCTGACCCCTGTCCCTGTAGCCTGTGCTCAGGTTTCCGAGCAGAGATCCATGTTCCCTGTGTTCAGCCATGACTCCAAGTCCTGCCTCTCCTGCAGGCCAACTCCACTCCCTGCCAGCCTTGCTTCTTGCATGGATCTTGAAACCACCCATCCTCACCGCCTTTGTTGCTCTCCCACCATTGTTTCCAGTGTCGTCCAGCTCTCTGACCTCAGCTTTGTTCGTCCAGCAACTTCTGCAGTCCCTCTTCCCCTGCTGTGCAGTGATCATCCAAAACTTCTCACATAATTCCCAACTTCATGCCCTCCCTCAGGGGAAGCCCAGATCCCTCCAAGCTGCCTAAGAGTTTGCTGGGGCCCCCATAACAAAGTGCTACCTAGATAGCTTCAACAGCAGAAATCTCTCTCCCCATCACAGATACTGGAAGCCTGGGGTCAGGGTGTTGGCAAGGTCAGTCCCTCTGAGCAGGCTGATAGAGAACCCCTGCCTGGCCTCCACCCTGGCTTCTGGCAGCAACCTGTGGCTCCTTGGCTTGCAGATGAATTGCCATCTGCTTCCTCCCTGTCATGGCAGCATCCCAGTGCTGTCCCCAGCCTCCCTTCTCAGCAGGCTCTGAGCCTTCTGTGTGCTGCCCACTGGATGGCCCAACTTCCTGCCATCCTCCTCTTCGCATTCAGACCCCAAACTCAGGGTGAGTGCCTGGCCATTCCACCCTTCCTGGGACCTCACATGAACCCCACCAGGCCCCAAGTGGCGCTGCCTCCGGAGGTTTCCGTGTCTTGTGTCTCCAGGGCCCGCCTAGCCCAGCCTCAGCAGAGCCTGCTGGCCTGCACAAAGCCCGAAAGTCCATCAGTGGTTGAGAAACAAAGGGGCCTCTGGGACATCACCTGTCCCTGTGGCAGCGACTTCCCCAGCAGGCAGTCATCTGCGGAACCCACTGCTAGCTTTTGGTGCCCAGACTGATGCTGTGGGTGCCCCACTCAACCTTTCTGGAAGTCCCTCGGCAGTGGTCATCCTGCTCTGGTCTAGCTTCCCGAGGCCAGGAGGACCCGGTCCACCTGGTCTTTCCCCCAGTGCCTGGTGCCATTTGCTCTGGGGCCCTGAGCTCTTACAGCTGCCCCTGCAGCAGCTTCCTGTCTGTCGTCAGAGTCCCTGCCTGGGAGGTAAAAGAGCATGGGTGTCGTCCTCAGCCAGTGACCTACACATGCTAGACACTGGGTGCCACATTTGTGCCAGAAGCACAAAGCCAAGCCTTTTGTACACCTATGGTCCCCCAGCTCCTCTGTGAACAGCAAGGCCACACAGCACAGCTCCGGGAAGGAGGACAGAGAAAGTGGGTCCTAGTCACAGCCTACCCTCACCGGGTCGGTGCTGACCCTCAGCCTACAGGAAACTGGGGCAGGTTGGGTGCCAACCACACACCCTGGGGCTGGCTGCAAATGCCTGGGACCCCCGCTCAGCTCCTGATACTTCCTCAGTGACACCCACTAGGTGTCTCCTGTTTCCTGTCCCCATCCGCCGACAGCACCAGGGCCCTGTGACAGAGGACAGAGCCTGGACATCAGGGGCACACATGATTCACATCCTCCCATGGTCCAGGGACTCAAGGCAGCCCCCACAGGTCTCTCTGTGACCCCAGCTGGGTCCAGGGAAGGCTCTCATGACATTAGAAATTATGGCCAGACAAGCCGCGGTGTCCTGGGCCCTCTGAGGGTGAGAAAGGGCAGTGTCGGTGCTGGCTGTGAACCTCGGGCTGAGTCCTGAGTCGGGGGGGCTGTGTCGCCCAGGCCTGGGAGTGGGAGGTGGGACAGTGGGGTGGCAGCCTAGCCCAGCCCAGCCTGACCTGCCAAGGGAAGCGGCTCTGGTCTCGGCCCTGCCAGCGGTCACTTCACATCAGACACAGCTGCTTCTGTTTTGACTTGCTCCAGCACAAATCATTTTTAAAACCTGGGCCGCAGAGTTCCAGGCTGTGGGGCCTGCCAAGTTCATGGTGCCCCTGTGTAGTCATTAATACTTCGCTCCCAAATTTATTAGTCTTGAAGCCTTCTTATGAGTTACAGCCCCTGTGCCACAGACTCCCCCGTCCATCACCACAGACTTGGCATCCCCCACACCGCACCAGCTTCCAGAGAAGCCACCACTGAGGAGCCCGTCCTGCCCAACCAGGCCTTTCCTCTGCCAGGCACAGCAGGCAGGGGAGGGAGCGGGGCTAGCATCAGGGATTGCCTTTGAGAGGACCGGGGCAAGGTGTCCCTGCTGTCCTCCAGCTGGTGCCTCAAAGGCTCGAAGACCACTCTGTGGGTGAGGACAGGAGCCAGCCCAGGGGTCAGCTCCGGGAGAAGAGGCCGTTTGGCCTGGATGATGCAGAGGTGGACAGGGCCGGTATGAGCGTGGCTGAGGAGTCTGGGGCCTCACCCTCAGACCGGAGGTCCCCGTGTGGCACAGATGTTGGGGATGGAACCCAGGCTGTCAGGCCATGGGAGCAAGCAATCCTGCAAGCAGGACAGGTCCCCACCCAAGGCTCCTCATACACTGCGCAGGAGTTGGGGTATATTGGCAAGGAAAGGAAGGAGGTGCCGAGAATCAGCTTGGGCCTAGCCCAGGTGACAGGAGGGCCAGTCGCCAAGTTGGAGGATGTGAGAGGGAGAAGCCAAGTTCTATTGCAGACGAGTTAAATTAGAGGAGGCTGGAGGTCATCCAGCAGATGTCTGGGGACAGTGTCCAGGCCGATCACTGCCCAAGAGAGGTCTAGGCTGAAGGTCACTGGGTTATTTATCAACAGCTGGGGTGAGGACATGAGCTCCTCAAATTTGCAGGCAACACAGAGACAGGAGTGGACTCGATGCCTGGCTCACAAAGCTGTTGGGAGTGGGGTTTGCACTGAAGATTGAAGCCCCATGTGGGTGTGAGGGCTGGCCTGACCCTGTGCCTGTAGAAGAGACTTGGGCCTCTACAAAGGGTGGTTTCTAGGTACAGCTGGAGGATGTGGGCCACTTCCAGGGCCTTGCAGGGCAGTGGGAAGAAGGGAAGAAAATTACCAGCTCTGTCCCCGCCTCCGCCTCCCTGCTGGCCCACCTGAGCCCACACTCAGCTGTTCAGCGTGGAAACCAGGAAGGTACAGCTTGGCAGGGGCTCCCCACAGAGGAGGCAGCTCAGGAGGGAAGGTAGCAGCAGGCAGGCAGGAAGGCCCTTCAGCCTCGCACACAGCAGGCTGTGCCTACAGCAAGCACATAGGTGGCTCCCTAAGCAGAGCCCAGGGTCTCCGCTGTCCTCCTTGAAGGCAAGGCAGAGGCTCTACCCTCTGGCCTCACTGAGGGCCAAGAAAAGGAAGCTGCCTCAAAGCTCATTCTCAGAACTGCCCTATACCGCAATGGGAGTTCTGTCCCCAGAGGAGTGTGGCCACAGTGCAGAGGGTCACAGGAGAGAAGACATGGTGGAGAAGGCCATGGAGGAGGGGAGAAGACCATGGAGGACAGGCAGGCGCTGATGTGGTCCTGCACTAGGGGTTGGGACACGGTTCAGGTGCCTCTGTCCTGTCCCCCTCTGTGTCACCTCCTGGAGCTGTGGAACCACCTAGCCCAGCCACATCAAGTCCACAAGTGCCTCCCCAGTGCATCCCTGGTGCAGATGGAGAAACTCATGTCTAGTGAGGGGATGGGACCCAGTCAGGCTCCCACGGCTGGCTAGTGGCAGCACCAAGACCCCCCAGAACAAGTGACCAGCTCACTGCCTGACCCTGTGGCCCAGTGGCTCTGCACTTCTGCTGCCTATTGGGAGTGGCCATAGCGTGGCAGCAGCGCTGCTGGCTGAGGCGGGGTAGGCCCCAGAGCCAGTGCCAGGCACACCTCTGACCAAAGGCGTGGAGAGCACTGGCCAAGAGCGCTCTGAAGAGCCAGCCTGTGCACACTGGCGTGACCACATAGTGCACCTGTAGCACCAGGTGTGTCAGGAAGGTAGCATCTGTTTCCTGCTGACCTTGGCCCCTCCAAGAAACTCGGGTGCAGACTGGGATCTGGGACAGCCCTGAGGAACTCCCACCTTCCAGAGAAGTCTGATTCACTGGCTCCTGAGCACCTGTCACCTCCGTGACTTAGGAGAGTGGGTGTCTTTATTCCCACTTTACAGGGAGGGTCAGAAGCCAGAGGGCCCTTGGCTCTGTATGGTGGAGTTGGGGTTTAGAGCCTTCCCTGTGCCTAGGATCTGGGGACCTGGAAGGCTGGGGAGCAGCCCGAGCTCAGCCTGGTGGTTGCTGTAAGAGCCTGAGGTCCTTGTCCTGTCCTCTTCCAGCCTTGCTGGGACCCTCCCAATTATCTCCTGCCCCCACCGTTCCTCTGTCCCTTAGTCCTGTTACCCCAAGGAGCTGCACCTCATCTTCCTGCCTGAAGTCTGGCCCTTTCTATAGCATGTCCCCGTGACCTTGGGAGCAGCCCCTCCACACCTCATTGCCCTTGGGGCAAGGCCTTGCTCCTTAGGATGAAGTGCAGGACTCCCCCTGCTTTTCCCTCCTGCTCCCAGGCCACTCTGAGAAGCTCAGATCGCCTCAGGAAGCCCCTGCCCCCTCCCCTCAGGATGAGCCCAAGCAGGTGTCCCTGCCTTGAGGAGCTCCCTGTGTAGCAGCTGTTTAGACTTAGCAGCAAAGTGCAGTTTGGACTTACGACCTGCCTGCTGCTCAGACTTAACGACCCATTTTGTTGCGTACAGTTCTGTACGTCTTGTCGATAGAGCCTCACTCTTTTTTGTACAGTACACCTTATACTGTAGTTTTGCTTATTGTACTGTACAGTACTGTGGTTTCATGTTACACATTACAGTACTGCATGAAGACTTATGCAAATAAAAGCACAATCAAGTTGGAGTTTCCTTTGACCATTCCTTTGGTCTGAACGTTGTAATGTACATACTATCTATGAGTCCTTATTCAGCAACCCGTTCATTCAATAACCTCATCACCAGAATGGAGGTTGGTCAGTAAACGGAAAGCTCTGTGAGCCTGATGTGTTTTAGGCACATTCACTAAGCATGTTGCACAAATAAACACAGCGTTCATGAAAAGGCAGATGTCTTCAAAATATATATTATTTCTATAATGTCTTATGCTGGGAAAAATAAGCTACCTGACATCTTTTGCATATTGAGGCCAAAAAAAAAAAAACCCCTCAGTGGTCAAAATAGACATCTATGGTTTGACTGTTTTAATGCGGAGGGGTTTGCAGCACAGTCTTTATGAGATCTGTTGATCACATGATACAGGCAGAACAGCTGTGCCAAAGGGCCAGAAAAATTTCCCAGCACACTCTTTCTGTGGGGCTCACTTTGAAGGAGTACTTGCTTCCAGCAGTTCCTCAGATGACAATAGAACTGATTCATTTAAAGGAAAATAAAGTCTCAGCTACAAACAAACTCTTTAGAAGTCATGTTACCTTTGAAACTTTTTGATGCATAGAAATCCCTCCTATCACATGGCTTCACCTACTTCCTCAAGGGCTAAATACAGACTTCTGAACCATAGGAGACAGTTGGACAGTTGTCCCTATTAGTCTTGGCTCTGTGATTGTTTCACGTGTTTAACGTCTATCTTACATTCCTGGCTAGCAAGCTCCTGTACTGCATACTTTAGATGTCCTTCCATCCTCCAAGCTGTTTACTGCAGAGGTGGACAGAGCTGTGGCCCCATTATTGCCAGTCTCACTGTCAAGGATATCTGGCATCTCTAGTGATTTTCAGAGTCAGGTGGTCCATAGCTCTGTGATATCTCACTAGTAGTACGTATTTCAGTTTCAGTGATCCGCAGAAGCTTCTTCATTAATGGGCCAGAATTGCACATTCCAAACATAGCTTCTAGAAATATCAACCGGGTGATCAATGTAACCTTGAAAAATTCATGGAAGCTGCTAAGATGCCAGGAAAGGGTATGTGAAGAAATACAGGAATAGACACTATTGATCTGCTAAAGATCATATCTGGATTGCATCTGTTTTATAATCGTGATTATTGGTGAGCACTTTCTATATCATTGAAATAGCATAAAGATATCCTAGATTTTCTGAATAATTTTCATTCTTGCCTTTTCTGACGTGCGGGATCAGTATTACCTGAACCCAGATGATGTGATGATTTATTGGTGGCTGCTGTGTTTTATTCTAAAAATTACTGGACAGCACAAGTTAGGAAAAACAAATCACTTTCATTGAACTGTTTTGATAATATGATGTCTAATATTGACATACTATGGTTAAAAGACCTACCTGGTTACTGACTATTGGCCCTGCTGCTCAGACCTACAACCTTTTATTCTTTTTCTTTGTACAGTTCTCTACATCTTGTTGATAGAGCCTCAGTGTCTTTTTTGCACGGTACACCTTGTTTATGCAGGACTATAATTTTTGCTGATTGTACTGTATAGTATGATACTGTAGTTTCTTGTTCTGTTACACATGGTACTGCATGGAAGAGTTGTGCAAATAAAAGCAAAGCAAGTTGGAGTTTCCTTTCACCATTTCTTTGTTCTGATTTTTTTTTTTTTCCCAGTACTGGGGATTGAACTCTTCAGGGCCTTTGCACTGAGCTACATCCCCATCTCTTTTTTTATTTTTTATTTTGAAGGAGAGTCTCACTCAATCACTGAGTTGCTCAGACTGGGCTTAACCTTGCAACCCTCCTGTCTCAGCCTCCCAGAGTGCTGGGATCACAAGCATGTGCCATCATACCTGTCTTGGCCCAGTATTTCTTTTAGACCTTGTACCCATGTCATCCTGTGACCTGGACAGCTTTTCACACCTTTCTTATTCTCCCAGTAGCTCTTAACTTTGTACCCACTGCGTATAGGGATGGGAGTCTGCAGCCCCAGAAGCTGGGAAGCCCACAGGGGTACCGAGCCTCAGCGTGTCATCACACTGCCCCAGCCCCTGTGGCTGGCTGTGGGTTCCTGCCAACAGGACTTGAGAGGGCAGCATTTCTGGGAACCCTGGTGGATTTAGAGACACAAGCATCTAGGCAGAGAAAGTCCCACTGATTCCACCTGGCTCACCTCAGATACAGGGATTCAGGACAGCAGAAAGGGGCCTCCTGGGTCAGGTTTTTAGGCAGCTGTGCCATCAGGATCTTGGTCCCAGGCAGGGGCTTCTGGGAGATAGGTTCCATGGATGGGAGGAGGTTGGGCACTGTGACGTGGCCACAACCACTGTCTCTCAGACTGACGAACATCCCTGTCACCTTCCGTCCCCACCCCACAGATGCAGCTGTGAATGATGACATGAACAGCTATATCAGCCAGTACTACAATGGGCCCAGCAGCGGTAAGTGTGGGCAGACACAGCATAGCCCAATGTCCGAGCTCCAGGCCTGCGCCCCATTGCCCCCTGTGCCATCCCTGCGGGCAGAGCTAAGGGTGAGAGTGCCTGGAGCTGTGGCTGCCACCAAAACCTGCAGCTGGAGTGGGGTTCAGGGCCCAAGCCAGGGGTGCCAGAGTGAGCGCTCCCCACGATCACTGACCCAGGAGAGAGCTTGAGGCTAGGGTGGAGGGTCCTTCCTGTGTCACAATTCCTTACACTAGGGAGTCTCTGGAAAGCCTAATGGTTTTGATGCCCAGGAAAGACTGGGTTTTAAAGTAGCACCTTAGCAGCATCTTACTTTTCTGCATCTGATATTGTAGACCTTCAGTGTAGGATTCACAACCCTTAACATCTAGCAGGCCCCGTTGTAAGGACAGAGTATTAAGTTGACCAGGTCTCAACCAATGCTAGTTCCAAAGACTACCATTTCGAGACTAGGAACCTCTCAAATCTATTCCCCCACAGCACTGAGGAGAAACCTTCCATCCCACACCACTGTGGCCATGCCCAAGATTTCTCACCTAGAGAGCCCCAAGTGTTCCCCATCTGCTCCTGCAGTGTGTCCCCAGAAGCCAGTCAGTCGCCCGTGACCCATTTAAAACTTGAACAACTACAACAGAGAGACACAAGTATCTTTGTCCCAGAGCAGCACTGTTAGGTGGACGGGGCTAGGCTGCTGTGGTGAAAAGCTTTGCTTCTTGCTCAGTTTATATAAGCCACAAAGACCACAGGAGGTAGTCAGGGCTCTGCTACCAGTCCACCTCACTCCATCACCCAGCAACAGGGCAGCTACCCTTGGCTCTAGAACTCTTGGGTTCAACAAGATGGGAGTGGAGGTTACAGCCAGGTTCTCCCAAAGCTGCCCTGCACCGTAGCTGCCTCTTGGATGCTCAGACAAGCCATGCCTGCACCCTAATCTGTCCCCACCTCCCTAGATGCTCAGAGCTTTAGAATCCACCGAGCAGAAGTGCTCAAGCCCACTGCCCTCTCCAAAGGCCAGTGAGGTGTGGCCAGTGGTGACCGTGTGGTCTCCTCTCTTACAGACAGCGGGGTCCCAGAGCCAGCGGTGTGCGTAGTCACCACAGCTGCCATAGACATCCACCAGACCAATGTCTCCTCAGACCTCTTCTCGATAGACACACCTCTGAAGCTCGGTGGCAACAGCACGGGCGCCAATGCCACCTCAGAGAGCGCCTCCCGCTCTGCCCAAAGCTCAGCGACCCAGGCCCAGAGCAACAGCAGCCAGACACTGGGCTCCTCCACGGACTGCAGTGTGGCCCGGGAGGGGCCATCCTCAGAGGCCACGCCAGTGGCCCTTCCACCGCTGCCACCCCAGCAGCTAACAGCCCAGGACCTGCTGTCCTCCGTGTCTGAGAACCCCTACCCTCCCCAGAGGGCCTTGGACCCAGCGCCCCTCACACAGCCCACTCCGCAGGGCTCAGCCCACACCAGCCCTGAGCTGGAGCGGAGGGTCTGTCTGTTCAACAGGAAGAACCAGGAGGGCTTCACTGTGGTGCAGATCCAGCCTGTCCTACACTTCCCACCCACTGGCCCGGTGCTGGAGGAGAAGCTCAGGTCTCTGGAATCTAAAGAGCAGCCGCTGCACAGGGTCCCAGAGGCCTAAGCCTGCAGGGAAGAGGGACACAGCCATCTTGAACCTTGCCCGGAACCCAGGCCACCGAGGGCCACACATGAGGCAGGGATCCTGCCTGGCCTCCTTCAGGGTGCTGTGGTCTCCAGGGAGGTGACCCAGGCCAGGAGGTCACCGGCCTCAGACCTCAGGGCCCAGAGCCGCGCCTCCTCTTGGGAGGGTGGTGCTCCTGGCCGGGTTTTAGCCGTTTCTACAAAGCCAGTGGGCGGCCCAGCCTCCGCAGGGCAGAGTGCGGGCCAGCTCAGCCTCTTCCGTGGCCTTTGTCCTGACGCCCACCCCAGACTCTCGGGGACAGCACTGTGAGCAGGGGCAGCTCAGCCCCACCCCAGCATCCTGCCGGGAGCCCTGGGTGGAGAGGACGCCTGCCCTATCTGTCCCCATTCTCTGGCATGAGCGTCCTGATCTCTTAAAGACAAACATAGTCTTCACATCTGACGGAGGATAGATCTGGAACTAGGGGTCCTGGGGGTAGGGAGACAGCCATTTTCCGCCCTCGGCTTTAATAAAAACCAGCTGCACTGAAATGCCTATTGTGGAGGTTTTCCTTTGGCTGCAGCCTGGGTGCTGTGTCCAGAGTTGCCAATACTGGTCTGGGCAAGCCCACCGGGGCCCACCTCCCCTCTGCAGCCCTGAGGCCTTTGCAGAGGGGGCCCTGCACCTGTCTGCACCCACAGGGAGCTCAGCAGTCTGTCCTCCCCAATGATCCCAGGCAGCCCCCTGACCCATTTAAAACCCCAGGGGACCCCACACAGCCCACAGCCTAGAGCCCTTCCTGGGGTGCACTCCACCCAGTACACACGTGTGGCATAGTTGGCTCTCTTCACCCCTGGCAGCAGTCTTGGACATGGCCTTTCTACTCCCAAAGTACCCATCCCTGCCCATCACCACCTTGCCCATGCCGAGGTCTCTGTGGGGCTAAGCTGCTGCCGCCTCTGGCCAGGCTAAGCCTTGGTCCCACTCTTCCATCTCGTTGTCCTGGGCAGTTTTTTTAATTCACTAAGTTTATTGGTATGTTTTAGGTATACAGTATGTCCTCCCTCGTTTAATAGCCATCAGTTGGTTTTGTGTTTATGACTGTGTTTTCTTTTATATATGTGGGAGTCCTGCTGCTCACCCATTTGTGACTTGACTCCAGTCTCCTTTCCCTCTGTCCCTTCTCCCTCCACTTTGGGTGACTGTCCCTTTATCCCACCTGCCCATGCTCTGGGTCTGCTCTCTTCCTGACTCCCAAGTCCCCTTGTGCTCACTCTGACCATGTGGTCATCCTATGGGGTAGGTGGCCAGTTTTCCCTGCCTGCCTCCCTCTGCTGGAACCAGAACCCAGGCCACAGGCCTGAGCACAGCCATCAGGGAAGATGCTGACCTGGAAGAGGGGAGGGAATGTCCATGCGCAGGCACAGGGCACCCTCCCAAAGAGTGGGGAGATCAGCAGCTGTCAGAAGGTGTCAGCGGTGGCTGTGTCCGATTGGACCACTCTCAAGGCACAGCCAGAAGACCTGCATGGGGCGGCTGCAGCACCAGGAGGTACACAGCTGTCCCAAAACCCTAGGTCATCAGCAGTCACACTTCCATTCCTGAGCCCCTGTGGAGGTCAGAGAGGGTGAGGAAGCTGCCTAGCGAGAAAGGCTAGGAAATGAGCCCAGGTCTGCATGGGACCCCCAAGCTCCCAGAGCTCTTAAAGAAAGTGGCCACTCCACTTTTGCCCTGTGATGGGCTGGACTTGTAATCTGCAGGAGTCAACAGGGTCTATGAACTAATGGTCTACACCCACTAGGCTATTAAAGGCCACTTTCCCAGCCAGGCCCAGCTGAGCTGTGACCACCTCTTTGCCAAGTGTGCCACCCAGCTTATGAGCCACGCTGGCTGCTCAGCAAGTCAGTGAGGTGGGCCAGTGTCCAACACCACTCCTCTGTAAGGGCCCTGGCTCCAGGGAGGAGCCCAGTCCACAGTGGAAGCCAGAGCCTCCTGCAGCTTCCCTACCTGGACCATAGGGCTAAGAGGTTGCCACTTTTCCCCCTTTTTGTTTGCTGTGCTCTGTTTTATAAGAGCTTGACTTTTCTCAGGGTGCTTACAAATCATGCTCACTGTTGCCTTCATGGGGACAAGGATGGGGACAAAAGTAACAAGCCCCTGCCTCTCTGTGTCCTGAGTCCCCGGCAGTCATAGCTTAAGAGGTACAGAAAGAACAGCTGAGTGCCTGCCTGTGGGCACCTAAGGCCTCTAAGAGAAGGGAGCCTTGAAAGGGGGATTTTAAAGGACCAAGAGTAGCAGAATCCCCTCTTGTGTCTGTGATTTATGACAGCAGTTTTTGTGGTATAGTTAGTTTCAACACTGAGCTGCAAAACTGACCCACTTCTGGGAAAGGTGACCAGGGAATTTTGATTGTCTTTGACTTAAAGCCAGGTGTCAACCACTAAAAGCAATGGCGATGCCGTGGGGATGGCAGGGCCATGGTGCATGCCAGAGCCACAGTGTGGGAGGTGAGGCAGGTGGGAGGCAGAGGGCACCGTGGGAAGGAGCAGCAGTGAGGGAGACAGCGTGGCAAAGGTCACTAAGGTCCTGCACCCCAGGCTGAGCCGGCACTCATCCTTTGATGAGCCCGGGGCAGCGCCTTCTAGTGGCTGCAGAGCAAAGGTCAGGGCAGAGGTGGTGCAGGGAGGAGGGGCCAGGCAGAGGATGAACGGGTTGTTGAAGAGACCTGGCACTGTGGAGGTCTGGGAGGGTGGTAGAGGGAGGAGAAGCTACCTGGCACCGTGGGCAGACAACACCAAGGACAGGGAAGAAGCACGCCACGCCTTCTTCCGCCAGACCCCATGACTGCAGTTCCCAGGGCTGGTCCTCCAGGCTGAGGGTACAGGAAATGGAAAAGCTGCAGCTCCACAGCTCCTCTGGGCACCATAGCCTGGAATGATTGATGGCCAGTGGGCGGCTGGGGCCTAGTACATGGGCCCAAGCACTGCCTGCCCAGCCACCTTTCAGAGGGCCACCCTGGAGCCTTGGGGAGCCATCTGGGTGCTCCCAGAGGGAGGAGGTAATGGTTGCCACCTCCTGCAGGAACAGTAATGGCTCCCATTTCCTGCAGTGACCACCCCCCTTTAACAGAGAACTGCAAAGTGGGCACTCTTTTCTCCACTTTGCCCAGTAGGAAACAGGCAGAGAGATTCAAGTAACCTGCCCAAGGCATGCAACTAGTGAACTGCTGTGGCGGGATTCAAACCCAGGCCCATCTGGGGCAATGCCACACTGGATTCAAAGGATAGCAATAGACAGAAACAGGCTCTGCAGCCCCGTGGCCTTCTGGGGGCTCATGAGCTGTGACCACCTCTTTGCCAAGTGTGCCACCCAGCTTATGAGCCACTCTGGCTGCTCAGCAAGTCAGTGAGGTGGGCCAGTGTCCAACACCACTCCTCTGTAAAGGCCCTGGCTCCAAGGAGGAGCCCAGGCCACAGTGGAAGCCAGAGCCTCCTGCAGCTTCCCTACCTGGACCATAGGGCTAAGAGGTTGCCACTTTTCCCCCTTTTTGTTTGCTGTGCTGTTTTATAAGAGCTTGACTTTTCTCAGGGTGCTTACAAATCATGCTCACTGTTGCCTTCATGGGGACAAGGATGGGGACAAAGGTAACAAGCCCCTGCCTCTCTGTGTCCTGAGTCCCCGGCAGTCATAGCTTAAGAGGTACAGAAAGAACAGCTGAGTGCCTGCCTGTGGGCACCTAAGTCCTCTAAGAGAAGGGAGCCTTGAAAGGGGGATTTTAAAGGACCAAGAGTAGCAGAATCCCCTCTTGTGTCTGTGATTTATGACAGCAGTTTTTGTGGTATAGTTAGTTTCAACACTGAGCTGCAAAACTGACCCACTTCTGGGAAAGGTGACCAGGGAATTTTGATTGTCTTTGACTTAAAGCCAGGTGTCAACCACTAAAAGCAATGGCGATGCCGTGGGGATGGCAATTTGGAAGGAGCCGCAGTGAGGGAGACAGCGTGGCAAAGGTCACTAAGGTCCTGCACCCCAGGCTGAGCTGGCACTCATCCTTTGATGAGCCCGGGGCAGCGCCTTCTAGTGGCTGCAGAGCAAAGGTCAGGGCAGAGGTGGTGCAGGGAGGAGGGGCCAGGCAGAGGATGAACGGGTTGTTGAAGAGACCTGGCACTGTGGAGGTCTGGGAGGGTGGTAGAGGGAGGAGAAGCTACCTGGCACCGTGGGCAGACAACACCAAGGACAGGGAAGAAGCACGCCACGCCTTCTTCCGCCAGACCCCATGACTGCAGGTCCCAGGGCTGGTCCTCCAGGCTGAGGGTACAGGAAATGGAAAAGCTGCAGCTCCACAGCTCCTCTGGGCACCATAGCCTGGAATGATTGATGGCCAGTGGGCGGCTGGGGCCTAGTACATGGGCCCAAGCACTGCCTGCCCAGCCACCTTTCAGAGGGCCACCCTGGAGCCTTGGGGAGCCATCTGGGTGCTCCCAGAGGGAGGAGGTAATGGTTGCCACCTCCTGCAGGAACAGTAATGGCTCCCATTTCCTGCAGTGACCACCCCCCTTTAACAGAGAACTGCAAAGTGGGCACTCTTTTCTCCGCTTTGCCCAGTAGGAAACAGGCAGAGAGATTCAAGTAACCTGCCCAAGGCATGCAACTAGTGAACTGCTGTGGCGGGATTCAAACCCAGGCCCATCTGGGGCAATGCCACACTGGATTCACAGGATAGCAATAGACAGAAACAGGCTCTGCAGCCCCGTGGCCTTCTGGGGGCTCAGCCTCCCACCGAGCCCCATGGCCAAGGAGACAGCAGGCTCAGGGCCAGCAGCCCCACGTGGCCACCACAGGTGACTTCTGCAGCCCTGGCCTGCTGCCCCCAGCGAGGCCTCATGATGCCCTGCCCAGCCCTGGGCCGGGCCTCAAACCCAAAGCTTGGCTTTCAGGTCAGTGAGCGGCAGGGCTATCACAGACCCCTAGTCTGGGTCACAGACCATGGCCTAGATTTCTCTCAGTGTGTTATGTTGGCTCCCTTCATGCCAACCCTCAGCCCATGAGTCCCTTCTCGCTCCAAGATAGCTTCTGCTCAGAGCCAGATTCATGAGACCTGGGCTCTCCCGGTGCTGCTTTCTCATCTCTAAGGAGAGGACATGAGAGAGGGCCAGACCTGTGGCACACTGTGCCCCCCAAAACCTGTGCAGAGTTGCTTAATCAGGGCCCCCAGCTACTCTGAGAGCTCAGCCAGCCAAAGCCAGGACTGGATGGACACCTCAGGGCTCTAAATTTGGGCCCCCAGCCCAGGTGCCAGGTCCTCAGCCCAGCCGTTTCCACCTGCTCTGTGGCTCTGAGCCAGGCCTGGCAGCCGCTCCCACCCACACAAACAAGAGCAATGGCTCCTTCGGGCCCCACCCAAGAGGCTGTGGGATCACTAATGACATAATGGAAAGGGAAGCCCTCTGCAGATGTGTCAAGGGAGACTTGGAGAGCATCCTCATGAATAATAGATGTCCAGGGTACGTGGCTGCCAGTGCTCAGCACTTCTGGAGTGGGGCCAAAAGAGGTGCAGTTATCCCATCTGTTGCCACCGATGGTTTAGTGGGAGGTGGGGTGTTGGGGTGTTAGGTTGTGTTATCTGTGTCCTGTCCGGATGCCATAGCTCGCTCTGGTGCCTACTCTGCTCACATGCCCCCACCAGCAAACTCAGAATTAGTCGACGAACACTCACTCCTCTCCCTCTTTCAGTTCTGGCCCAAACCTGGTTTCCCACAACCACCAAGTGAGGAAACCATCACCACTCTGGATTTTTTTTTCTTTTGGCTCTACTACTGAAAAGTTTGGTATTGTCTCCTGAATAATTAATTTAATTATCCAAAGGAAATGATGGAACATTTACTGCTAATTTATTGCAAGCTGACATAATTCTGCACAGAGCCCCAGGCACAGTACAGGGAGAGGCTGCCTACTCATCCTGAGACGAGCAAATGGGACTGACTACTGGAGATCAGTCGGGACATTAAACACTGTGATGGATGAGACAGGAGTCTTCAGACCTGGGATTTACAGGGCGCCTTGCACTGAGCACTGCGGGAGCCTCCTCAATATGAATTAAGCCTCAGGATGAGGGAGACCCACCTCCCCTTCTACTGCTAAAGGGGCACGGGTGCCTCGATGTGAGAATGGTGTGTGGACTGGACCCACCCCACAGGCTAAGCCCCTGCTACCTGAGCAGAGCAGTTCAGAATGGAGGGTGCGGGCTGAAAGGGGTCTCAGGAATTAAGATCCAGTCTTCACATACTCCACAGAAAGTTTGTTGCATTTCTGGGAACTCTTGACCTTTGTCGCGCTTTCTGCCATCTAAGCTGGCTGAGTGATGGCACCTTCTGAGCTTGGCTAGGCCAACACATTCCTTGCCTCTGCCCACCAGTAAGCATGGACTGAGTCCTCTGTGCTCCCATGGAAGGCGGAGGAGACTAGTCCAGCCCACAGACACAAGTATAAGTGGGAAGCTCTGCAGGCTCAGGTTCTCGGCTGCAGAGTGGGGATTAACACTGCACCATGTTCTGTAGCCACAAGACTGAACCACGTTGGGAAAGGGCTCATCACAAAGTCAGGGGAGAGCAGGCCCACAGGTGGCCACTGTCTCCATCTACCCCTGCACATCCACAGATCAAAGCTTAGTTCACACTGCCACTGACAGATGACAAAAGGACAGTGTCACAAGATGAGAACCCAGGGGTTCTGGTAACTAGCTAGGTGTCCCCCATGCAGCTCCACACCAAGGAATTTGGTAGAAATTCTACCAAGGATGCCGGCCACAGGAAGTAGAAAAGGTGAAGCCCTCAGGGCCACCTTGTCACCAATGCAACCACCACAGAGCAATAGCCAGCAGCCTCACGGTACATTCTCAACTCCACCACTGCTCGCTGCTCTCAGGCAGCACAGCTTAGGTGCCTGCCCTGGAGAAAGCAGGTTGGCACTTCCCGTCTTTTTATCCAGAAGTAGGGGCAGTGACCCTCACTCTGGGGATTACTGTCCTAGAGAAGGGTCCACAGTGCTTCTGACACGTCAGCTCTCAGGGACACTGACCAGCTGTGGGTGGTACCCCCATCCTAGCCTAGCTTTGTGACCTGGGGCTAATGGCTTCCTCTCCTGGGAAGCTCATCGCATGAGTATCTCCTACTCTTCCCCTCTGATGGGATGATGCTCACCAAAGTGCTGCGTAAGCCAAGGAGGATCACCAAGCCTTCAAGTGGACTCCCCACAAAGATTGAAAACAATCTGAAATTGTGGCCATAGATCACTCAGCAAAGGCAGTTTACAAGCTGTCAGTCGGGCCTTCGGCTAACCAGACCCATCTGTTACAATCAATACGATTCTCTGGGTTCCCAGTCTCTGCAGCCCAACTAATGTGGACCAAAACAAAACCCCTCAGCAAGGACAGCACAGAATGCAACCCAGGTGACCATCACTATTAGAGCGAGAGCACAAAGTGTGCCCACAGCAGGGGCATCCAGCCTAGACCAGGCCTGGCGGCAGCCTGGCTACCACACTGTCCCAGGAGGAGCATCCCTGCTCTCTGCCAGCCGCACCCACAGTCCTGGGCCCATCTCCATGGTCTCTCAGGGACCATTCCATAGATGAAGAGCTTTCAGCCAGACCCATCCAGGCAGCAGGCCAGAAGATTCCTGCCACAGTCCCCTAATCACATTCATCTCCTCTCCTCCCTCTGTCATGGCAAACGCACCATGGCCAGGCTGCTCTGCTAGATGCGGTGATGGGCCCTCCTCAGACACAGGCTCCCACTGCCACGGAGTGCTGCACTTGTGTGGAGGCAGGACCCCAGGAAGCCACACAGCTCCGTGTAGAACACTAGGTACACTGACACATTTCACTACGACACACAAGGAGCAGAAAGTATACTGAAGAGCACGAGTTTCTGTAAGGATTCAAGACCATGCCCTATGCCCACGGGACAAAAACAGCCATGCAGGGCCTGTGGCTGCTGACCTTTGTTAACATCTGCCTGGTACAGTTCTTCTGATTAGCTTTTTCTGCGGATCAAGAAGAGACCTCTATGGTGTGGCTCTCGTGGTACCATCACTGGCCCAGCTCTTAAAGGGCAAAGTTTGAAAAACTGGTCCCCAGGGAAGTCTTCCTATCCTGTCCATGTCCTCTACAAACTTGCCTCATCTACCACTCTCAGCTCACGCCCCAGCTCCCTCACAGCCTCAAGGACCCATGTGAGCTCTGAGCCATTTCCACTTCTGCCCCATGGAATGGCCTTGGCTGCCCACTCAGGACCCTTTGCAATCCACACCAGTACCAGCCCTCTGTGATTGCTTGTCCTTCTCTCGTCCTTCCTGGGAGATAGGAAGTCCTCATGGGCAGTGCCTCTGCCTCCAACACCCACAATCCCAGCCAGGAGTTCATTCTACTGTGAAGACCAAGGCCAACTCTCCAGGGCATTTGCCCCAGGTCCTACCCACACAGCAAGCAAGACACATCCCCACGGTGCTGCTGAGAGCATGCAGGAGCAGGAAAATGTGCTCATAGCTGCAGAGAAACTGGGCAAGGCCACCTTAGAAGCAGCTGATTGATCCACATGGCCGGGTCCAGGACTGCTCAGTTCTGCACTCACAAGTTGGCCCAGATGGCTATGCCGCCTGACGGTCTAGAGCTTCAGGGTTCCCACACAGACACTGCTTAGAGGGACTCTCCATTGCTCTCCTCTCTCTCACTAAAAGAAGGGTGACACACCGGGGTCATCAACTTCTAAAGGTGCCTCACAGCAAGCAACTGAATCAATAAAAGTCCCCATCTCTGAGGAGGGCTCCTCTGGCCATGCGACAGGCTGGTGGCCCCTCCCCACTGGGTCATGTCGCCACTCATCTCTCCCGGTACACCTCTGTCTTCCTAGGGCAGCCACCGTCCACATTCCCTCCTGCCTGGCCAGAGCCGCACTGCTTCCCTTCCTGACTGCACCCTACTCACCCATGGTCCCTGGCATGGCACGGACCCTGGCTATGTCCTGGGGGACAGAGAGGTCGCCAGAGGTGTGCACCATGGGACCACCCAAGGCCAGGGCTTTAAACATGGGTAATAATGCCACATTGTTTGCTTAAGAGGCGCTGCTGCCTCTTATTCCCCACTCCCCCCGCTTTATGGACACAGAACTGATAAAATCTTAAAGTGAAAGAGAAAATTAAATTTACCTTAAGCCAAATGAGTACCCTCAGCAAAGTCAGGCCTGCTTTTGTCATATTAGCTGCAGTTTTCTGAAGATTTGAGTATCTTTAAGGTAAGTCATGCTTTAGCTGGACTTTTCAAACTCCAAGCTCGCCCATCTAATTCAGCTCACCAGCCACCAATCAGTTAGGCTGAGTAGGCTCGTGGGAACTTCGTGCTTTCAATCTTACCTAAAACACACCTTCCACAAACAAGGCAGCTGAAGGAAGTCAAAATCTTTACCTCCTTTCCTCTTTTTCTTTATGAAACTAAGCATATTTTGGATAGCAGTTGACAGTTTTAAAACTGTGGCAAGGCTTTATTAGAGATCTTATTACAGAATTAGAAAATCTCCAAAAAATTGTTTGCAATCACAATTAAAAACAAACAGTACTAGTCCCATTGGAAAGTATTCTGGCTGCAGTTAGAATTTTTTCCTCAAATTGTATATCTCTGATTTCAGCTGATACTTTCACATAGATTTTCTTCTTACGGCACAATCATGATTCATTTTTTCTTCAATAGCTCAGTCATTTCAGGAACTACCTACAAAAAAACCACCACCAACAGTTAAGTGAGTAATTGACCTTCCCGTGGTCGAACACAGCACCTGATCTGCACCTGAGGCCAAGAGCAGAGAACCAATCACTGCAGGGCCCCAGGTGCCACCCCCACCATGCAGACCTCACCCTGACTCCTCCCACCTCACCCACAGGAGATGGATAAACCTGGATGCAGGAGGGCAGGGCCCAGGGCCCACTCACAGCTGAGGGCTCTTTCTCTAAAGAAAACAGGATGAGTTTCTGGTCTGGCTGAGAGAAGTTGTCTTTTCTGTTGTCATGCTCTTCCTGGGACACTTCACACATCCTGCATCCTGACTCCTTGCAGAGTTCACTCCAGAGCCTTTGGCTAGTCAGGCCCCTGCCAACCTCCTCTGGTACCAGTTCTTGCACTGTTCACCCACCCTATGTACCACAAAGACCCTGGCTGCATTCTCAACACTCTACTGAGATTCAGCACTGAACATTCAGTGTCACCACTTGTCATTAAAATCAAGACCTGGGCAAGTGTGGCAGCAAGAAACCACAGCGAGGGAAACTGAGTCCATTCCTGCTCTAAAAGGGTAGTGCAGGGGCTGCTTTGTAACTGCCCAGACCACAGAAGGGACTGCAGGGGAACAACACACGGCCCAGCCACCTGTGTACTGTATCAATTTCTCAACCTTGCCGGCCTGCAGACTGCCCTCGTGCACCCAGCTGAATGCAGCACTGATGAATACAGCCTCTCAATTATTTAGAAGAGCTACATTCCCATTAGGTGCAAATAATGTGTTCGTACAAAATTTATTAAGGAAATTGTCGACATGTTGTTTCTTCTGAATGTCACTTTGTCTTCAGCCTATTAAAAGGCCCATGTTTACCAGGGAGCCACAGGCATTTGCTCAGGGGTGGCATTAAGTGCTGGCACCACATCCCCTGCTTTCCTCAGCAAAGGGACCATGATATCTCATGCCAGTCACACAAATAACATGCTCACCCAGCCATGTCACAAAAAATAGGCTGGAGCCCAGCTTCTTTCCCAGGAGGTTCCAGAACTCCTTCCTGCCATGCTTCCCACAGGAGGACCGAGGGGACTTCCTCACCCTATCATTTTATCCTGTTTATTAGATCATCCTCGGCCTTGCCAAGGATGCCAGCAATACCTTCTTCAGGAAGAAGAGAAAACTTCAGGTTCACTGTCCAATACAAAAGACCTGATTTTTTTCATTAAGTTTATTGGTACATTTTAGGTATACAGTAGTTACGTTCATCTTTGGGATCTTGTACCTTTACATGATGTACTTAGTTCTTATTTTTTTCTCCACTTCCCTGTCCCTCCTTCCTTCCCCATTTACAAAGACTTTGTTTCCATTTTTTTCCTTTTCGCATATATTTCATAAGACCTGATTTTGTTTCTATTTTCTTCTAGATATTACAGAGGTGTCATCAAATAAGAGGACACTTAAGTTTAAAAAGAAGATAACCTAATGATATAAATCAAATTACAAGGGTGTTTCACTCATTTACTTAGTGCCTCCTCATAGAATTACTAAGGGAAACAGAGACGTTTTCTGTCACTGTGGTCCTGATCAGGTTTAGGCCCAATTCAGGAAGCCTGCTCCTAATTAGGGAGAAGAGACAAGAGTCCTACAAGCTACCCAACCAAAAATGTGCTCATCTTTATTATGGAATAGTATTAAATGCTCCAAACTCAGGAGTTTTGAGAAATAAAGACCAGTATGGGTTAGGAAAATTCAGAACATCAACCTAAAAAAGGGATTCTAGGCATAAATAAATATTTTAAAATGTGGAGGCCTGGGTCCCAGCAGTCTCTTTCTAGTCAAACACACACACACACACACACACACACACACACACACACACACACACTCTGGCTGTAGTGCAGGCAGTGTGTGTGGCACAGGCCATCAACAACTACTATAAAGATGCTCCTGCTGAGGCACACACCACCCACCAGAGGACACTGAAAATTCCTAATGTTTAACCTCCATCGATTTATCTTGTCAGCCTCTGTGAGCTGTAAAACACACTGTACAAGCACAGAAAAATGTTCTTCAAAACAAAATCACATAAATTTATCAATATTCAAAAGGTAACTACAGTAGATGGCTATTTGCAAGCATATCAATGCAGTATATGGCTGGGGGGTGGTGTTTAATTCACCTTTTTTTTCAATACTGGGGGCTGAAACAAGGGCCTTCACACTGAGTTACACCTCCAAATCGTCAGCGCTTTTTTTGAGAAAGAATTCCACTAAGTTGCCCAGATGAAGCTTGAACATGTGATTCTCCTGCCTCAGCTTCCCCGAGTCCTGGGATTGCAGGTGTGCATCACCACACTAACTTAATTTTACTTTTAAATAAGAAGAATATTTACCCCTCTATTTATACCTAATAAGAAATAAATTCTTGCTACTTGAACAAAGTCACTGTTGTACAGAGATATAGAAAATCTGTTTCATACCACTTTCCTCTCCCACTGGGGTATCGTAGTGGACCAAGGACTGGCAGTATTGTTTGCTCTTATACACCAGGCATCAGGAGCAGCAGACCTAACAGAACCCACATTTCACACCTCCAGGTCATTGGAAGGGGGCCATATTCTTTCTGAGAGAAGATCCAGGAAGCCTGAGCCTTACTAAGCATTGCTGAGCAGCTGCATTTTCATGCTGGGGCTCAGGTACCTGTACTGAGGCCCACGCACTTCAACGTGGTTCTGTCAGGGATGCCCACTCAGCAAACCTACTTCTCTAGGGCGGAGGCAACTTGGAGAGTCAACTCCAGCATGAGCCATCTCTGTGGGCAGGTCCAGGACACAGGCCAGGCTGTGATGGGTGAGGACCTTCCAAAGTGTTCATCACCTACAGCTCACGGAGCCAAGAGGACTCAGGAAATTTTCTTCATGGGGGACAAGTAAAGATGGCAACAGGGTAGAGGACTGGGAAGTAAGTGTTCCCCCAACCCAGTGATGGAGAACCTTTTAGAAACCGAGTGCCCAATCTTCAACCCAAAACCCACTTACTTATCGCAAAGTGCCAGCACTGTTAATTAAACCATAGTATCTGATGCTCAGTTGCTGAGGTGATTTGGCTCAAGTGCCAACAAAGAGGGCTCTGCGTGCCAGCTGTGGCACAGGTGCCATGACTGACCTAACATGTCCCCTAGGGCAGGCCTTCAGTGTCCAACCACAGCAAACAGTATTTTTGCTGTACCAGATATCCTCGCTCTGAGCTGTCTTTCCCTGAAGAGCTCAGCACCCTCAGCCCGACTAAGGCGGCTTCACAGTATTTCCTCAAAGATCTGCCACGTAGGGCTGGGCATTTAGCTCAGTGGTTCTGCCGCCTGCCTCGCTAGTGCATGTTCCTGAGTTCGATCTCTGGTACCAAGAAAAAAAAAAAAAAAAAAAAAAAAAAAAAAAAAAAAAAAAAGATCTGCCACGTAGGAGTACTCAAGTCACGTGAGATGCCAGAGTGCCAGAGTCACCGGGTTGGTATTTGATACAATTTGGACTCCTTTTTAAAGGGCAATCTAACTAGGTCAGACAAAGCTATGTGATGTGTTAATAGTACAAACACATAGACGCACAATAGTTCCGAGAGGTCCTTGGGTAACAAACTAGGTAACAGCAAATCTCTCAAGCCTGGCTTACCTTAAATAAATCTGCAACTATTCCATAATCTGCCACCTGGAAAATTGGAGCGTCTGGGTCTTTGTTAATAGCCACAATTGTCTGTGAAATAAAAACAGAGTATGGCTTTTATCAAGAAACAAATACACCATACAGATTGATGGCCCCTCTCTTAATATGTGTATCAAATAAGATTAATATGATGCTTCCATACCAGTATGATGAATTTATTAGAAGTTTCTAGTCTGGGATGTAGTAAAATTATCTACCACTTACCACTAGTCCATCTCAATATAAAAAGTTAAAAATCCTTATTTTTTTATACTTCTATCTTGACTTATGAAAAAAAGTAGATTTTAAAAGTAACAAATCATAGCCTCTGTAGCTCAAACCATTATGTCTTCCACCTACTCCATCCCATATATTATTTTAAAGCTACTGTCCTGGCAAGGCCAGGGATTTAGCTCAGCGGTTCCACCACCTGCTTTGCAAGCACAAAGACCTGAGTTCGATTGCCGGTACCCCCCAAAAAAGCTACTGTCCTGGGCATGTTCTAGAATATAAACACTGTCTTGTCAGGCCGCTGCTAAAGGAGAACTATTTTGTTTCTTTAGTCCTTATATATGCAGCAAATATATGCAATAAAATAAGTGCATTACTGTATCTTTTTTATAAAACTACCAAATCTTTCTCTTACCACCTATAATAATAATATTACATATGAAAGGTCATGACAGATTATTAACAGAATAAGAAAAAGTTTGGTGCTCTCCACAGATGCTTCTAAGTCGCATTAAATTAAAATTAAGTTTATGGGCCGGAGATTTAGCTCAGTGGTGCCGGCACCTGCCTTGCAAGAGCAAGGTTCTGAGTTTGATCTCTGGTACCAAAAAAATAAAAAATTAAGTTTTTGATTCAAATGTGGTATCGAATCTCCAGAAGTAAGGTTTCTGCCTGTCAGTGTATCTTGAGAAAACCTCTGGTGTTCATTTACAAAGCACTTTGATGTAGTCTGACCTAAAGAACAGGCTACATGACATATGAATGATTTGTGCCAGAACACGAGTCTGGAGCATGGTGTGGTCGAGAAATGGCCAGGCCAGACCAGTAAGAGCTCAAAGATGGGGCTCACATTTGAAACCCTAAGGACAAACATCCTAAACCATGGCTGTTGTCACTGAGGTGCTTCTCTTCTGGGAATGTGTAGCCTGACTCACAGTTACAAGCAGAGATGTATTGAATCTATGATGGTTGATTTTTCTGGAGGCCACTTAGTCAAGCACCCACAGCTTTACTCTGAAAGCTTTCATCCTATAAGTTAATCTTAAAACACCAAGCATGTAACTGTGGGCAAGGAGCCACAGTGGTATTTAAGAAAAAAGTGTGTAATAGTTTTTTTTGTTTACTAAAATTATATTGCTGAATTACCAACTGTAAATAATTACAATAAAGTCTTGCGTGCACTCTACTGCTCTCAAAAGCAACTTGTGAATTCCAATTCTTCCTCCCAACAGAGCTTTGAGATTGTAATCAACCATATCATTATGTACATAGTTCACACAGTGCCTTCATTATACTAATTCATTTGATAAACCATCAAATCTTGTTCTTCAATGGTATTGCAATGTTAATTAAAACTGCAGCTTTCCCTATTTTGATTTTTAGATCTTTAATCCACTTGGATTTTAGTTTAGTGCATGGTGAAAGATAGGTGCATAGTTTTAATCTTTGGCAAGTTGAAAGCCAGTTTTTCCAACACCATTTATTAAAGACGTTATCTTTCTTCGGATGGTTGGCTCCTTTGTCAAAGATGAGGTAGCTGAGTATGTCTGGAGTTGTTTCTGCATCTTCTAATCTATTCCATTGATCTTCGGGTCTGTTTCTTTGCCAGTACCAGGCTGTTTTTATTACAGTGGCTTTGTAGAATAGTTTCAAGTTGGGGATTGTGATAACCCCATCATGTCTCTGTTGCCTAGAATGGCTTTTGTTATTCTAGGTCTCTTCTGGTTCCAAATGAATTTTTGGATTGTTCTCTCAAGTTCTGTGAAATATACTGTGGGGATTTCAATCGGGATTGTACTGAATCTATACAGCACTTTTGGAAAATACAGCCATTTTCACTATGTTCGTTCTTCCTACCCAGAAGCAAGGGTAGTCTTTCCATTTTCTTATATCCTCTTTGATCTCTTTTCTCAGAGTATTGTAGTTTTCAGTGTTAGGTCTTTTGTCTCCTTTGTTAGACTGATTCCTAGATTTTCTTTTCTTTTTTTTTTTTTTGGATGCTATTGTGAAGGGAATTGTTTCCCTAATTTCTCAGTGAGTCTGTTATTTGTGTACAAGAAGGCTATTGATTTTTGAGTGCTGACCTTGTATCCAGCTACTCTACTGAATCTGTCAATTAAGTCCAGAAGTCTTTTGGCAGAGTTTTTTGGGTCTTCTATGTAGAGTATCATATCATCAGCAAATAAACTTGCTGGAAAATAAATCAAGTAGAACTTTCGAAGATATGTGCAAAGGAAGACTTTATGAGCAAATCCTCAGTAGCACAGGAACTTGCATAAAGAATCAACAACTGGGATCTCATCCTATTAAAAAGCTTCTGCAGTGCAAGAGAAACCACCAACAGAGCTAAAAGAAAACCTACAGCATGGGAAAAAAAATTTACTAGCTGCTCCTCAAAGGACTACTATCCAGATTATATAAAGAACTAAAAAAAAAAAAATCAGACCCCCCCCAAGTATAAAGACCCAATTCAAAAATGGGCATCTGAAATGAACAGATATCTTTCAGACAAACAAGCAAATAAATATATGAAAAAATGTTTAACATCACTGGTCATTCAAGAGATGCAGATGAAAACAACACTGTGATTCTACCTCACTCCGAAAAGAATGGCTGCCATAAAAAAATCAACCAATAACAAATGCTGGCGGGGAGTGCAGACTGGAGCAACCACTGTGGAAATCAATATGGAGATACCTCAAAAAACTGGGATTAGAGGTCCCATTTGACCCAGCTATCTCCCTGCTGGGTACCTTTCCAAAAGAATTAAAAGAATAATACCCCAGTGATACATGCTCATCCATGTTTACAGCGGCACAGTTTGTAATAGCTAAAGCTTGGAAACAGCCCAATTGCTCATCAACTGGAGACTAGATAAAGAAGATGTGTTTTTTTTCTATAAAATGTAGTACTGCTCGGCTATAAAGAATGAGAAACTATAGACATTTATAGCTAAACAGATGCACACTTAGGCCATACTCAAGTGAAATTAATAGGACACACTTGGGAAAATACCGAATAGTTTCTCTGGTGTGAAAAACTAAAAGTGTAAATAAGGTTTAATGGTATAAGTGACAGTATGAAATAGGAAGAAAATGTCTAACAAAGACGGTGAAGTGGGAAGGGTAGGGGAAAGGAAAGAAGGGAAAAGAAAAAGACATGAAAAAAGGAAAAATGGAAACAAAGTATCTGTAAATAGGGAAAGGTGAAGGGGGTAAAGGGAGGGCAGGTGAATGGGGAAAAAATAAGAACCAAGATACATCATGTAAAGGTACAAGATCCCATAGATGAATGTAACTGTATTGTTTACCTTAAGTGAAGCAATAAACTTAATGGAGGAAAAAAAACAAACTACAGTTTCTAGGCAATATCACTGTCAGATTTAAGCCATTCTAATATCTAATATTTAGAACTCAATAAAATTATAACAGAAAATTGTCTCCCAAACAAGACAATAGGAGCTGTCCTTTTCATTTAATCAACAATGGCACCTAGTATAAGGATTGTACTTAGTAAATAAACACTCAATGATTAGAGAGACAAAGTCTTGGTTGAAGTTTATTCTCATGGATTGTCCCCCAGCACTGGACTCCTGACCTCAATGGTTCCCCACGTACTATCAAGTCTGTCTCTCTCACAATCTAGTCCGGTTGGCCTAGGTGAAGAATTTTCATCAGGATCTTCCTGAAATGTAGAAATCTTGTATTTAAGGAAGCAGAATTCTTGATGTGTCTGAGCTGGTCTAGCTGAAAATATATTTTAAGGCTGCTGGTGTTGGAAAGTTTTTTTTTTTTTTATGCATAAGTTATATTTTCCCCATTGTCAATGCTGTTTTCAGAGCTCAGTAAAGAAACCTGCCATTCAAATGTAAAATCTGACTGGTTTTGTACCAGTTCATTTAGAAGTTACAAAGAGGTAATGTACTCATTTCTTCAAGAAGTTAAGCCTGTTAAAAGTTTTATATCATGCTTCCATCTGAGTAGATAAATGCAGGAGTGTCAGAAGCATCTCTAACTTCATGAAAGATAAATTCATAATTCAAACTATACGCTGTAATGCATGGGTTACTGTGTCACATTCTGAAATACATGTTCGGAGAGTCATTACACAGGACATCTTCGGTTATAGTCTAAGTGCTGAAGTTAAAATCAAGCATTTCGTCCACACGGTGCACTTCTGACAATCACCCAGGTATTAAGATGGCCTGGTGCACCAATACAGATGTGTCGATTACGCTTTGGTAACAGCCCAGAAGAGCACTGCTGACATATGAGGGTAGGGCAATTAGGGCCCAGAATGAAGCAAAGAATCGGGGACCAGAGCCTCCTTAAAAAATTAGATGATCAGCACCTCATCAAGCTATTTAAGCCTCACACTTTCTACCTGCAGGTCATCAGGGCTGAAGGGGCACTGGTGACCATCATCCAACACTTGTGAGTGACAGGGCATGAAGGTTGAATCACACCATGAACCGAGAGCAGGGACTCAGGGTCAAGCAACCCCCTACACAGCACTGCCTCCCACCAACATGTGCAGGAATGAACAGCAGCTTCTGTTCCTTCAGTTCCAATCTATGTGAATGTAGATGGTTCAACTACGTACGCTGTAACTACATGGAAACATACAGTGTAGCTAGATTTAAAAGTGTGAGAACCTTGCCTCTTAGCTTCATGATAGGGTGTACAATTACCTTGCTATCCTTCATCCCAGCTAAATGCTGGATGGCTCCAGAGATTCCGACAGCAATATAAAGTTCCTAAAACAAGATATCACATTAATATATATTTATACTACATATATTTCTAAGTGTTTGTCATTAGCAGTTTAAATCCTAGGCAAGAGATATATTAAATAAGACAGGTGTAATATGCACTGCTTAAATTATGCTTTCTTTCTTCCCTAATCTTCTTAACCCAGCTATCTTTTTTCAATGAATTCCTACAGTAGTGGTGGTATAATAACAGGTAGGTGGATAATGAGGATTACTGAGCATTTACTATGTACCAAACCCATGTTAAGCATTTCACAGCATTGTCTCAATCTCATAATTCATGTCATGATTATCTGTGACGCAGCACTCTTCACCTGTGGCCTGCACTTGGATATCATGCCACAATTCTACCTGTTCACAATACGCACAAGTTTTACTTGGACAGATAAATATATATACTTAAAAATATTAAAATAGATTTTGACTATGTGTCTTGCCTTCTCACAAAAGGGTATCTATAAAAATGATAAATAGGATATATTTATTAAACTTCATATTTAGAAAGCCCAGAAATACAAATCAGTGTCAGGAAGTTTCACACACACACACACACACACACGCACACTCACACACTTGTTGAAAGCAGGGGCTGAGAATGCCTAGCACCTACAGAAAGGCCCTGCCTGCAGTTTCACTGCAGTGAATGCTGCTGGTGACATTTGTTGCCTTTTCCTGCCCCCGGTAATTAGAAGGGAACGATGAATGACTACTGTTCTGTCTTCTTATCTAAAAATTTTAGTGTACCTATGTTTGAAAATTAAAACACACTACCATCATGAAAAACTGACTTAACAAGTACATAATTAAAAGGGCTTCCCTGCTGCATTCTATACAGCAGGTGTAATTAGAGCCTCACCTTCAAACCTTTCACAAATATAACCCGACCGACGTGTCCTGGCTTGGGCAGGAGGTGTGTCTGCTGTGCAGCAGACAGGTACTGTGGTTCTAATGACAACCGAAATCAAAGGCTTCCCACATGAGAAATACCACGAAAGTACTGAAGGCGCCTGGCCACACTGCCTTCCTTAAACGGTATTTTTCAAAGTCAGTGGCAGGGGCAGGGCCCTATCTATCTTGGCATTGCTGGTGGTCTAATTTAACAACAGCTCACGCCAAAATAACTGAGCACTTCAACCAGGAAACAGGTAATGTCACAGCCTCCTATTGCTAGCAGTTTCCACAGCACCTAAGTGTATATTAGCCATATACAAGTCAGTTCCCACATGGAGCCTCAGTTTCCCCAACTGTCAGCAGAGGAAGAATAGTGCCAGCAGTGAGTGTTTTTTCAAAAGCTCCCTGAGATGCTCTAAGGAGTCAAGGACAGGACCTCTGGGATCCTGAATCCTGCCACTGCCCAGGAGGCTGGTAGGACATCCCTGGCCTTCTCTCTAGAGGCATAAAGCATCCAACTGCTTCCAGAGCAAGGCACTTGTTAACAGGAAAAGTAAACAATCTAGTTCCCAAAGTCAGTTAACCAAATAAAAATGAGCTTTTTAAAAATTCTGCATATTCTACAGTTATCCCCAAAAGCCTCAAGATAGCTAAAAGCACTTTGGTTTAGAGACCATGTCTGAGGGTAGGGTCTCTACAGAAACATGATGTACAGGTGAGGACACAAAGCTACGGCACGCTGCAGCTCCACCTCAATACATCAGCGTGTCTATGAGGACCACGCAGCTGGGCAGACCTGCTGTCAGACCATCTCCTCACACGTGGACATTCACGAGGGACAAGCTTCTTTTCTTTGTGTATGTACTACTACTTCTATTTAAAATTACAGATAACTTCAACTGACAACAGTAAGGTAACTGCAATTTATTCTGACTAGCGTTTCATCCATAAAGGGACAATCATTAAATTGTTTGTTAATCATACCTCAGTTCACAAACTTAATTCATTCCAAAATTCTGGGGAAAATGGCTGCATTCGTGTTTGTCACCTGATTCAGAGTTCATGAATGGAAGCAAATTTTTGCCAAACACGTCTGAATTTTTTGCAAACAGAAGCATTTGTGAACCAAGGTATTACTGTGTATGTACTACTAACTGAAGTTCATTCAGGAAAAGCAGGCCAACATATTTGAATACAGAGGTTTTTAAAGCAAGTTACTTAGATACACAGAAACTATATCACTGACCACTCTAAATGGTAAGCACTGGAAAAGATCCATAGTCCTCTAGGTGAGGCTCCCTGATACAGATTTACATGAAAATTTACACATCTTAAAAGCTCCATATGCATCATGAAATGCTAATAAAATCGTAGATTCACTCTGACAGTAAATATAAATACAACATGAATAAGTCTACTTTAAACTTGCTGCTCCCTTTCCCCTTTCCCACTGACCCTAACCATCAGCACACAAGGAAATGAAAGTTTCTCAGTCAGCGGTCAGCACCCACAAACAGCAGGTGCTGAGCCATCACTACCTTTCTGACTGCATAAGTAGCTCAGCGGGGTCCACATGACCAACAGGACTCTATTTTACTGCCTTATAAACACGGATCACTGAATAAAAATAAAGCAGCAAAACAAGAAGCTAGGAGGAGCCCAAGGACTGGGGCTGCCAAGCTGAGGCCTGATGCTTCTCTCAGGCAGGAAGAAAGGCTTTCTGTCCTTTTAAAAGCACATACAGGCAATTAGACTAATACCCCAGGATGCTGCCTGCATGCAGAAAGCATTTTCATATTTCAGTAGTAATAATAATAATAATTAGCAGGCACAGAACTCCCTGCAGATGCTAATTTACGGAGCACTCAGGTACCTGCTTCACAACACAGTGAGGTGATCCCTGCTGGAGGTGCTTTCCTTCCAAATTTGTAAAATAACTGCCATAGATGCTGGAGGGAAGGACAGCAATTAAGGCCTCAAAAAGAGGTGCATTAAAGGAGGGGAAAGGACAGGCAGTCCTGGAGCCAGTCCTTTATCTTTAGCTTTAGCATAGGCTGGGAATCCAGCAGGGTGGGGCAGGAACAGGAGACGGGGAACAGATCCAGGTGCCAGAGTGACAGAGGCCAGTGGTCATGGCACGCATTCACGTAAACATACACTGGAAAAGAAAGCACAAATCTCTTCCCTTCGCCAAAACATAAGAAACAGGAGAGCTTGTGAAAAGAACTTGGGCTGAGGCCTCACACTGGACTAGGATGGACTGTGCTGCAGCTGACATGACCTGCTGGGACTGCCAGAGGGGTGTACTACTATGGTTAAGAACCCCGACTCCAAAGCCCCACCACTTAGGTTCAGATGCTAAACGATAGCCAATGATTTAACTTCTCCCTGCCGCCAGTGGCTCATCTGAAAAACTGTGATTATAATACTTCCAACCTCACAGGGCTACTGTTGAGGCTTCAGTCATCAGTATCTGTTCTACTGGTATGCTTCTCATGAATATTATTTGTTCAAATATTGATTTCCTCATCCCACTTGACTGGTGTCAGGACCACCATGTACAGCTGAATAGGTTGTGAAAATTTTTTTTTTTTTTTGGTTCCAGGGATAGAACTTGGGTCCTTGCACTTGCAAGACAGGCAGCAGAACCACTGAGCTAAATCCCCAACCCCAAAGGTTTGCACAATTTTTTTTTTTTTGGACAGCTGAGTAGGTTGTACACTGAACAGCTATAGAGGGAGGCACCAGTCTTACCAGTCACTACTGACCTGCGCAGTTCTATTACAATAATTTCCAACAGAGGGCAGTATAGAAACTTGTGTTCTGTAAGAAATACTTCATGATTCATACAAAGGAGTTGTAAGGAACAGAAGTGTTGGGAAGCCAAGAGGCCCCTGTAATTTTCTAACTGTGCCATAACAGGAACAGTTCAGTTGTGTTGGTTAGCTGATTTACTGTTGTTGGTATTGCTGCTATATCCTACAGGCATTGGGAGACTAAATCTCTGCTCCCTGTCCTAAAGAAGCTTACAGTTTAACAGCACAGCACAGACCAAGCAAGGTTACACTAAAGGGCAATAGTGAGGAAGGTGATCACCCTGGCCCCTCTGTCCTGCAGCACCCTGAGCAGTGGACAGGCTTGGGGAGCAGGAAGGAGGTCAGGTGAGGCCTCCACCCTGTCCAGCAGCAGAAGTCTCCTCCTGCAGTCCAGCCCCTCAGCTCCTGCTCCTGCACCTGCCCTCCCTCATGGCTCTGACTTGATGACAAAGGCAAACACCTGAGCAATGTCAGGATGACTAGAAGGAAGTTCTAGTGTCTTTCCCGAACTCCAGCCAGTGGTCCTGCACCCTGCTTCTGCGGGGGGGGGGGGGGCACAGTGCGGAGCTTGGGGAGCTGCCACCACCACAGGTGTCCAACACTGGGATGTCAACAGAAGCTCCCTGTAAGGCACATGTTCCATTTTAAATTTTTGGTAGTCATGTCAAAGTAAAATAAAACAGGTGAGCTAATTTTGAGAGTATCATCCCCATTCAGAGTAACCATATTTAAATGCCCAAAGCCACATGCAGCCTCATGGTTGTGATGTGTGACACACACACCCTAACTGATCACAGAACTCGGGCCCTGGCTCCACAAAAGCCCATTTCCAGGTCATTTACACTAAGAGTGAACCAAAAAGAAAAATCAGTAGCGTGGGGGATCTGTGGACAAGCACCAGAGGCTGCAGCATCAAACTGGTGCACAGGTAGAAAGGAGAGTTGCAGAGCTGATGGAAATCCAAGACACCAAGAGTGAGGGAGGGGCAGGTAAACACTACTGCTTAATATATAAGTTTATACCCTGAGAAACAATTCTCCAATACCAAAGGTTGTTTTATAGCCAGTTATATATATTTTTTGTTTGTTTCTTACAACTATAAAAGAACATAGAAAGAAATCTATCCTCAGAAACCTATACTTCTCAAAATAAGTACCTAAATGCAGTGGTAGCAAACCCATGGCATACGTGCTGCAGTGGACTATTTGATATCAGTGAAAGCTCTAGAAAGTTCAGTAATGTTAGTTATTTTTTCCTGTTGCTGAGACAAAATACCCA